AACCACACCCACCTTCCCCCACCCCATCCCACCACCCCGCAGCCCCAACTAACCCCGCCCCACCCCCTCCCCCACTGACCCCACGACAAGCCTGCCTGTGTCTAGAAATGTACTTAAATACTCAGCACAAGGAAATCAATAGACAGACTCATTTACTAAAGTGTCCTCTTGACGTGAGGTTCTGTGTTGCTTCATCACGTGATTTTAATGAAGGAAAATATCATTGGTCAGTTCATTGTTCAGCTTGACCTGTACAAACACAAATAAATAAAGCGGAGATGGTGGTCAAATAAACGAGAACATGGCTGTGGTTCCATGGCTGTGGTTCCATGGCTGTGGTTCCATGGCTGTGGTTCCATGGCTGTGGTTCCATGGCTGTGGTTCCATGGCTGTGGTTCCATGGCTGTGGTTCCATGGCTGTGGTTCCATGGTTGTGATTCCATGGCTGTGGTTCCATGCATGTGGTTCCATGGCTGGGGTTCCATGGCTGTGGTTCCGTGGCTATGGTTCCATTGCTGTGGTTCCATGGCTGTTATTCCATGCCTGTGGTTCCATAGCTGGTATGAGATTAATTGGATGTAGAAGCCAGTGGTTGCAGTTGTATATGTACCGCCGGTCTAAACTTGGCAGAAATACTGAAGGTGGGCAATACGTTACTGTACGGAATCTGTATCTGGACAATGTCGGAATGTATTAATTGTATTTGCTTATGTAAAAGAGTTGTTAGTGAAGAACGTGGAGGAAATATATATATATATATATATATATATATATATATATATATATATATATATATATATATATATATATATATATATATATATATATTCACGATTGATTGCTTTCCTATGACTCATTCTGAAATCAGTAATTACCGTGTGATAGTTAAATGGTGTTTAATTGATTTTTACTTACAGCTGTGATGTAATACCTAGGCAGGTCGATAGAAAACAGTTTCGCTTCCCCAGCAAATGAACAAATTAAGTGTAAAAATAAGAATGCCTCGGGCGCTACCATAAGTTCGTGTGGACGAGTTGTTTTTTTTTTTAACTTGGATGTGCTCACTATGTCTCAGATTTGTAACAAGTTAGCGTTTTGTGATACTTGACCTTCTGTTCATTTTACAATGTTATATGATGTTATATGGAGCCTTCGTATGTGGCGTGCGTAAAGTTTGTTTGAGAGGTTGTAACCCCAAAATGAGAGCTCAGTAACTAAAATAGACATACATATATATATATATATATATATATATATATATATATATATATATATATATATATATATATATATATATATACTCTCACCAATCTGGACAATGTCACCTAAAATCTCACCAACCTCATCACAATGGCACCTAAAATCTCACCAACCTCATCACAATGGCACCTAAAATCTCACCAACCTCATCACAATGGCACCTAAAATCTCACCTCTCATAAGTCTTGTGATGCCATGTCCATTTGACATCTGTGATTATGTTAAAAATACTTTCGTGGCATTTCAATGACAAGCATAGAAAGATTTAGTAATTAGCTCAATAGCCTTAGGAAAAAGATATTCCTATCGATTCGACTCTACCTATCTCCTGTCATAAAGCCTGTTGGCTCATTTACAATAATAATATATTGCAACAATCGATTTTTAAATAGCATGTCTGGCTGTTTCCTGACCTTATGTTACAATATGTCGCTATATGACGTGAAAGTATGTAAGAATCTGTCACTACACGACGTGAATCTGTCACTACATGACGTGAACCTGTAACTACACGACGTGAATCTGTCACTACACGACGTGAATCTGTCACTACACGACGTGAATCTGTCACTACACGACGTGAATCTGTCACTACACGACGTGAATCTGTCATTACACGACGTGAATCTGTCGCTACACGACGTGAATCTGTCACTACACGTCGTGAATCTGTCACTTCACGACGTGAATCTGTCACTACACGACGTGATATTACGGTAGTATATGTAACATGGACATGAGAACATCAACTGTTGCTGGGACTATGGAGAACGCTTTAAAATGCGTTACTTTATAACATACATTAGTTTACAATGGTGGTATAACATATTATAACATATATTACTTTATACTTGTGGTATAACATACATTACAATGGCGGTAAAACATACATTAGTTTACACTGGTGGTATAACATACATTTGTTTACACTGGTGGTATAACATACATTAATTTACACTGGTGGTATAACATACATTACATTATACTGCTGTATAACATACCATCATTGTATATATAACATATTTTACTTTACACTATTGTTGTGTAACATATATTACTTTTTATTTTTACTTTGTTACATTTTTACACCGCTTGTATCTTGTCTACTGTCTGCTTCTATTTTTTCTGGAGGTGAACGGTCTTTTAACGTGAGCCTGTTACTTACGACATCGGGTGTTAGAATGAGCACTAAGTGACCCTTTCATCTATTTTAAGCCACTTCACTTTGATCCCCTAATGGTAATGGTTAAATACATGAAACTAAGTACGAGCAAACAGAGAGCTTCGATTATATTACACAAACATGTATGTCGCTGAATATTTTTTTAAAAATCTAAGTGCATCTATCTTGAAAATAAGGTTAAAATAAAGACAGTACTGAGTACCTCAGTACAGTTGTATGCTTTAAATAGTGTCCCAGAGTAACGGTCCTTGTCATTAGTTTTAAAGACGTCTGCACAACACAATCTGTTACTGAATTTTTTTTCTAAATACTAAAATATTTTGAAGAAGTTTCGATCTTAGAAAATGAATGATTAAGATCTTATAATAATGCGAGTTTTCCATATTTTATCAATATCAGATGTTTCTTCCCTCCTAACACTACGCTACGTTGTGAAACGCATCCCCTCCCTAAATAAAAATGGCGTCAAAAAAATATAACTCTTTCCCTTCCCAATTATTATACTCTACAAAAATCATTACAGTATATGCATTTTTAAAAACCTTTTTACTTCTTTATAATATTATAAACGAGACATGTACCCTGCGTCACAATTCTTTAATCACCTACACTCCCTTATGTAACACATCGTCACAAAAATATGACCCCACCCCTCCTCAGATGTGTGACTGGTTTACGGGCTCGAGTTATCTCCGATTGACGCCTCTGATAGTTAGCTGTTTGGTCGTCCAGCGCCTGCACATAGGGGGACACGCCCAGGATAGGGACAGATGTCTATATTAAATTCTTCCACTCCCATCTTCCACGCCATATCTATATCAAAGACTTCCTCATACACACTCATGATGGTGACAGATGTCTATCCTCCACTCCCCTACCCCAGATACGCCAATGTAGAAGACACCAGCTGACAGAAGAATGAATGACAAACATTAGAAAAATATTTGTAATCGCCAGTGGTTATGTACTAAAGGGAAATAACTTCTATTATTGTGTCTGTGGGGGATTTTACCAAACATAGTCTCCACGGGTTGTCAGTCCTGGTGCTGTTTACAAAAACAGAAATATTAAATAATCCACAACACGAAACAAACATACGTGCAGATATTATAGTAGAAAACAAAACAATGTATTCACCTCAATAGGCGAGTGTGTATTTTCTTGAAAATTAAAAAAAAAAAAACAATATATATGCCTACCTATTTCGACCCACACATTCAGAAGATAAAAATATATTTTTGAAGGCCTTTCTTAGTTCATTGGAAGTAGGCTTTAAATATACTAGGTATTGGTCTGATTAATAAGAAGTCGAATGCGTCCAAGTATTGGTGTATTGTGTGGTAGGAGGGGGGGGGGGGGGGTTGATCAAAACTGTATCATTATCCTTCACTAGAGCTAAAAAAATGTATGCCTTATTAGTTGTTGTAATAGTGTAGACGTTGTTGTAGTAGTTGAAAGAGTAGAGCAGAGGCCCAGTGGTGTAGTCAAGGGGATTTTAGAAGCCCACCAACACATGGATCCTAAAAGATTTGCGCACAATTAAGGGTTATGGGACATTATAGGTATGAAAACTACTCAATTAGTTGATGATTATACCTATATATAGATAGGGACTACTTAAATTAGTATGTGCCATGAGTGATATACGTTATATTTAGTTTCTGTTCAAGTGAATCATTAGAATTGTATTTAACTTCAATATGTTAGGGGAAATAATAATAATAAAGTATAAAAACTATTTCAGAGGATAGAGAAGAGAGAAGAGTTATCCCCCTTGATGTTTAGTTTTCCTAGCAGAATTTGTCCCACACATAACAACATAACATACTTTAACACACAATTATAAAATTTGATTTCCAGTGTTATAATCATGTTTTATTTATCTTGAAACGGTAGATATAATTTTATTTAGAGTCTATCCTTTTTATGTGTTTTAACCTCTTTTTCTTTTCACATTAAACAATTTAGTCCACAAGCAAAACAAAAAATAATAAAATAAAATACTGAGAAAAGAGCAATCATACCAAACATTAATAAGTTTCATAATTTTGGTGTTGAGCCAATAAAATGTTTAATTATAATTACTTTTATCTCATAGTGTAAATTGTTTAGCTAATTAGAAACATGTTCCATGTAGGTTTAACATTTAATGTGTGCCAAATGTTTATGTGGCTACCATTGTAACCACATGTTTGTGGCACATTGTAACCACATGTTTGTAGCACATTGTAACCACATGTTTGTGGCACATTGTAACCACATTTGTAACACATTGTAACCACATGTTTGTGGCACATTGTAACCACATGTTTGTGGCACATTGTAACCACATGTTTGTGGCACATTGTAACCACATGTTTGTGGCACATTGTAACCACATGTTTGTCACACATTGTAACCACATTTTTGTGGCACATTGTAACCAAATGTTTGTGGCACATTGTAACCACGTTTGTAACAAATTGTAACCACATGTTTGTGACATCATTTTTTAACTATAAATAATACAATGAAGACTCAAGACCTTTGAACGTTGGTTTGAAATGCATTAGTGAAAATACTTCAGCAATAAATACTCAGATCTATGACCATGGCCAAAGCTAAGCTATTACAGGTTTTCAATGACAACATCACAAACCCAGCAGTCAGCAACATTCCCTTAACAACGTACCTGCAGAATGTGCCACACAGCTGTTATAAAACATCTTTAGCAGAATTCTAGAGAATAAATTATTTATGTTTTTTAAATGTCTGTAGTTGTGGGTCGCATGAGACATGTTTCTAATTGTGTTAGGTGAAATAATAAGTTAAAACTGAGAATCTTCTGATCTAAAAAAAAAACATAATAAATTAGTCTGGCCTATAAATTGTTTGCCTTATTGAACACAAATGTAAAAATGCATCTGTCCAGTGGACATGATGCAGGGAACATGTATTGCCAGGACAATTGTGCCTCTACACACATTTGACAGTGAGGATTTGAAACTCAATAGCAACATACTAACTTTCTATCACCATTTATTGTTGCTTATTTTTTTTTATGTCTACACAAGGCTTCTGTTTAAACATACATTGACTGATTTTTGTTGAGCCAATAATACAAATAAGAATTGATTTGAGTGAAGTCACTAAAAGACTTGAACAGAGCAACTGCTTGTGGGTGAGTTTTACTTACAATAACATTGCTTAAATAAATAAAAATATACAAATGTTTGTAAAAATCAGCTTTGAAAGCTCAAAGCATCGTTAGTATCCCAATGATTGGTTGGTTGTTAGACAGCTGATGAATGAAGCAAAATGTCAAATGATAAAACACATCACTCAAGAACCGCAACTCTCAGAGTAGAAGACATCAAATCAAGGTAGCTGTAAAGAGTAGCAAACCTTGAAAGTCAACCTAGTCTTTTCAGGAAAAACCGACTGATATTTTGGTAGGTCACTACTAACCTTTCAAGAAAAAACTAATTTTAAAAGAGTATGTTAAATTTTCAGAAAAAAAAAATAGAAGTTATGATACATCAATCATTTTCAGATAAAACTACAATTATTGTAGATCAACCTTTTCAAAATAAAACAGTCACAATAGATTAACATTTTAGTAAATCTTTAAAGCTAAAATAGACAACCTTTTCAGGAAAAACTATTAAGTTATAGAAGATCAAGAGAAAAAAAAATGTAATTTTGAACATTAAACTTTCTAGAAAAAAAAAAAAAATTAAGGTACACCAACCTATGTGAAAAAAATTGTACTAAACAGACAGTTTGGAACCACCACAAAGGTTTTGTCAAAATATGTCATCATTTTCTTTTCTTCTAGAAATGTAGAATATCACACATGTCCAATGGTTTATATAGAGAAATAGTGTCATTGAGCATTTGTAATTAGACAAGTAGATAATAACTTGCTGTTTACTGTAATAAAAAAACTGTTTTTTTAAGTTAATAGGTTATTATTTATATTTTTGTTATTAGTTATTATTTATATTTATTATGAGTAATAAGTTATCATTTAACAAAATTCATTTAGTATAAAAGAGTTGGCAACTATTGCTGATATAATATTACTGTTAGTACTGTTATAAAAATTATTCTTGTTTTTGGTTTCTTTAGTTTAAAATAGTTTGAAAAATTACTGTTCTCTTTAAAGTAGATTTATAAGCAATGAAAAACAACTGTATTTACACATTTTGGTTAAAACTGATTAATTTCTGCTTTTAAAAAGTACTTAAAATGTAGGGTCATAAATGTGATCGTAAAAGATTATAATATCATTAAAACTAACTAAATAATATGTTTTTATTTTAAAGTAAAATAAAATGTCAGTTTTGCTAGAAAATAAATGAGTTTTAAAAGACAGTTTATACTTAGTGATACTAAAAACTTATGGTAAAATGTTTGGCTTAGTCGTCTATTACACATAATATAATATAGTCAAAATATAAAGTTATTTCATATACTCATGTACTTAAAGAAATTTGCCTACCACATATTCACAGCTTATTTATGTTTAAAACTAAAACCACTTTGGTTTGTTAGCAGTTCATGTGGTTTTTAAGAATGAGGTTATTTTAGCATGAAATTTGAACAACAATAGTAAATAGTTAGAGTAAAAAAATCTTGTTGATGACATGAGAGTCTTGAGTGACATCAGTGAATAAAGTAATGTTAGAATTGAGAAGGGTTGATTGTAAAGATGATATGAGTGAACACATTAGTTTTAGTTAGCACCAAACTTGATCAAAGGCACTTCTACATAAGGCAATCTCATTCCAAGGTTTGCTTGATGGATGACAATGGCCAAAACAAGCAAACTTTAAATAAATATACATTCAACACAGCACCAAAAAAATAGTTGAGCCTAAATAAACTGGGATAAGTTGATAGAAAAACTACTAACACTTACAGTGTATCAGTTTTATTTTTAATTTAAAGATTAATATTCAGTGCTTTTAGCATTATACCAATAATTGTTTAATTGTTTTTAAAGTATATTATTTTAAGATTATAATGTTACAGTATTTGGAAATTAATTTCTGCTTTTTAAATTCAAACATAAAATATCAGACATAATGAGTTCAATTTTACATATCCCTAAAATATAAAAGAAACAGTTGAATTGATCAGACATAGAATGCATCGTTAAAGTAAAATTTGTATCACATAATTGTGGTTAAAATTAACACTTTTATAAACTCAGAAAAATAAATACTGAAATGATTATAGACCAATTTAAAAATGGAAGAATTTTTTAACATTCCATATTCAGCTTACTTATTTGAATTAATATTTTATCAACATACATTTCAGATAGAAAAACATATAAGATGAGGAACATTTCATAAAATCAACAATTACTTTTACTAAAGTCCATTTCATTCACAAGTGAGATGACTGCCTGTACGATCCATCTCTAAAAATTATTATGGTGGCATTCATACACAGAAGGTACTGAAATATTTACAAAGAGCTAAACAAAACAACTATTTTTTTCTACTTTGGCTGATCTGCAATCTTCCACACATGATGAATGGAATCGTCAATTAAAAGTTGTTTGTATGTTGTTTTTTTACCTGATATCATACAAGATCTTCAGCCCTATATAGGATGAAAACGATTTTTAAAATTAATATAAATACATAGGCCTACTTTTTAAAATATTTCTAGTAAGTTAAATAAATAAACCGGGAGTGATCTCCCCTAAACTTTCTTGAATATTCTTATATAACATTATGGGGGATGGCAACTCGGGATATAGACATGATTTTTTAATCCATTTTTAATTACTTAAACTTTTTTAAAATACAATAGAATCTCATAGAAAAAATAATTGCACACTAAGTGAATGCCAAACAAAATGTGTATAATAGTGCGGAATATTATTAGTACTTTATAAATTCACATGCGTTTTTTGAGAAATCGGAAATAGCGTAAATTAGTACTTCCGGTCAACGGAAATTACTCAAAATTTGATAGATGGCAGAGAATTAGATCTTTTACTTACAAAGAACTTACATGTGAAATTTCATTTATCTATCTGAAATAGTACTCATGTTATAGGCTTTTGAAAAATTGAAAGTAGAAAAAGTTCCACTTCCGGTTATCAGAAATTGCTGAAAAGTTGATACGGATCTACAAATTTGATATAATACTTATATATGAAATTTCATCAACCTAGCTGTAAAGGTAGGCCTACTCAAGTTATCGTGTTTACAGGCACACACACACACACACACACACATACACAGACATACGGACAAGATTTTTTTTTTGTACGATTACAATACTTTCTCTATACTTCGTATATACGAGAAAGTAAAAAAAGATGTTTCTATTTATTTACAAAAAAAGTGCAAATCTTTGGTTGAATTGTTGATATTTTGTAAACAATTACACACTCATGTTAAATTAGCTTAACTTTTTATTTTGAGAAAATAAATTTAATTCTTATCTATTCTCTACATTTTATATAAATTTATTTTAAACAAACTTTCATTTAAGGTTCATGTACAGTTAAAGTAACAGAAAAATGAAATACCTTCTGTGTTTTTCAGCCTCAATGCCATCCAAATGTGAAAGAATGACTGCTTGTTGGAGTAAATTGTCAGACTTGTTAGAATGATTTGACTTTGAAGTCATACCAACAAGAGCAAGACAATCACCTGGATGTTTGCTCTCCATCTCATCCCCACCTCTCAGTGTGATCACAGCTTGAGATAAAATATCACTTGTATCTTTGGATCTGGATGCTAGTTTTTCTGAACAGGAAAGCATCTGAAACACATTTGTTTGCATTTAGAGGTCTTTTTATATTAGAATACATTTGTTTTTGTGTCCTACATTTTTTATGAGACTGATGTACAAATATTTAATTAACTATTGGACCAAAGATATTTGAAGATGCCTTTGCAATGATGAGTAAGCAAGAGGTATTATAGATATATAGGTTTAATTGGACATAATAAATAATAGATCTAAGTTCTAGTGGCTTATGTTTTTTAAGTGAAAATTCATAGGTGTATGATCAAAATTTATAAGGTGTATGAATGTGTATACAGGAGTATATTTTAGTTGAACTGTATAGATGTATGTTAAAGTGGAAATATATGGGTGTTTCAAGCAGAAGTTATAGGTACATGATTCAGCCAAAACATATAGACATGGGTTCAAGTGAAAATATACAGGTTCAACAGAACTTACATAGATGTACGTGCAAGTAGAATACCTACTTTTGGCTGCACTTTACATATGATGTCATGTAATGGGATGAATATCCCGTGGTCTTTCTGACAGAAGAAGTATCTTTTTTTGTTGAAAAACCCATCATGGTGGCCAACTAGATTTGTAAACACAAGTTTGGAAGACATAAGTTTGGAAGACATAAGTTTCATTACAAGTGAATACTTAATTGAACATTTTGTATAATCTGAGGGCATTCATGTTTCAATGCTCTGTTTATCTACCATTTATCAATAAGAGATTTCTGAAGAGGTTAGCTAATACACAAAAAGAGAAAAGAATTTACAAATTAAATGTATGTATTAGTAGTAATGAGGTATGGGTATGCATGTTATTTGGGGTATAACATTACAAACATACAGAATTGTTTCAAAACTATAGGACAATGCACAGAAATAGTTGAAGTCAAGACAGAACAGTTCAGCTAGAAGGTTGTGGTCAAGCACCACAATGGCTTGTTTATAACGCTAGTTGATATAAAATATGACACAGATGGAAGCTGAGACTAATGTTAGACAAATGGTGTTCTTATAATATCCTAACAAAGAAATGGTACTAATTGAGGTAAAGGAATTGAAAAGACCAAAAGCAGAACTTTATAACAGATGAGACTTGTGTACTAGGAGTAGAATTAGGGTTAGTTTGATCATGTTTGCTGCACACAGAGACCAACAGCACCTACATAAAGATTATAGACCAACAACACCCCCATAAAGATACCATGGGCTAGTTTGAATTTGTACGTTATACGCTGAGACCAACAGCACCTACATAAAGATTACCTGGTGCATCTAACTCCAGACCAACAAAGACCATATTTGGTTGACCAATTTTGTCAAGATGACCAATGTAGCGAATACGACCAGTTTTTTCTCCTTTAATGACCACATGATCACCAAGTTGCACAACAATTTTGGAACTACAAGAAGCAAAAAATAAACTCAAATTATTTTTTAAAATACAGGTAACTACAAAAAGAAAAGCAAATTCAACTTAAAATCATGTTAAGAATTGGTGTATTTAATTCATACTTGCTAACATGATTTTTTTAAAAATATGTTTAAATTTGAAAATGATAGCGACTTACCTAACAGGAAACTTAAGAAGATCTTCATTAAGGCTGGCACTAAGTGCTGCATGTATTTCCCCACCCATAGCTTCATCACATGCAGTGCACTTACAGCCATATAAAGGTTCTGCATAGTGAAGACTTCCCACAGGGGGAGGAACTCTTGTGCTCACTTTTGATGATGATAACCTTAAGGCAAATAAAACAGAAACAGTTTTAGAGATGATACCATTATTAATACCAACAAGACAGAAACAGATGTTAGATGATACCCTTATCAGGATTAATATAACAAACATAAATATATATATATATATATATATATATATATATATATATATATATATATATATATATATATATATATATATATATATATATATATATATATATATATATATATATATATATATATATATATATATATATTGTTCTGAGCTGAGTATTCTACTGACCCATTGGTTCTTGCATGCTTATGACCATTAGTCACACATTTGGGTTGACAGTCTTGTGTATTGGGTGAGCTATTGTTCTGTAGTTCACTTGATGAGAAGTCTTCATTAGGTAATTCTTGCCGCAAGTGATCCTGTGTACATTCCCTAGCTAATTGGTTCATCTAAGTTGAAAATAAATTGTGTTGGTACATGCGAAATAAAATATTATCACAAATAATTTCTCACTGCTATAATGCTCTCTTCATATGCCGAGGTCATAGAAACAAGTAAACTCTACTTCACTTGCCCTATAGACCGTCAGGTTTGAAAGGGGAACTTTACTTTAATGATCTATAAAATCATAGTAAATAACAACTCAAAGATAATTTTTAAAATAGATGAGAGGGCTCTAGCATTTTCCTTAATAGGTTGTGTCCATTAAATATCAAGGCTAACAGCTGGATTAATTTAATTAATTACTATTTTGATTTTATTTAACACTGAATATTTTTATTATGTTACATATATTTAACATTTAGCATTTATATATAGACCGAGGTGGTGAATGAAATCAATAGATCTACCTTCAATGATGTGTTAACCAAACTTACACTAATAACACACAGTATTATTAGGGACAAGTCAGATCAGATCAAATCTGTTGACAGCTCAAACCATTAAAACTCACCTCTAATTCTTTTAGTCTTCCTTTCAGTATTTCAATCTCTTTTTTGGCTGATCCCAATTCTTCAGCTAATTTTGAATTGAGACGTACAGCTGGAACAAACACATAGAACAGAGATAAAATTATATCATAACAGTTCAGGCAATAGAAAAAAATTATCTAATAGAAAAACAAGATGTGCTTAAAGTAAGAGAAAAACAGAACATTAAATTATGTATTTATACACTGTTGTGCTCAGCTGTTCTTACTTTCAATAAACTGTTCCTCAAACTGTGACTCCCCTCTCAGGGCCAGAGTGCACTGGGTCTCCTTGGATATTTTTGGACTGATCCTCTTGATCTCCACATTGGGTTCACTGGTCATCTCAGGCAAAGAATTCTTCCTGCCCTGTGTTCTGGCTGGCAGGTCAGGGCGCCCTGCAGGCCCGGACACGCTGATATCCGGGGAGGTGTGGGCGGTGTGAAGCTGCTGGACTCCTCCCATTGGGGGCTTGGGGGGCTGGATAAGAGAGAAAATCCTGATAGAAAACATGGCAACAACAGATGAATAAATCAAAAGCAGGTTTTTTATATGTGTCTTCAAACAGGTACTCATCAGAGCTGGGTGGACTCAGAAAGGTCCATTTGAATAAATTAGGGAGGCAAAGACTGTCAGTCTAGCAGTTGTGCAATATGTTGTGTAGTGAGGGATCAATGACTCAAATACTGCTCACGTATGGATATCAGATTAAATCCTAACATTACTTCCCTACACTCAATACTACAGTAGCACAAGCAATGGATTATGACTTACTACTGACATTTAACATCTAATCTAACTTCATTTTTACTGTTAAAGTAATCAAATACTTAAATTTTTGACTAAGTTTTCATCACAGTAGTCAAAAAGCAATGTTAAAAGAGCCATTTCTTATGATCTGCTAGCTTTAGCATTATCCTATCATGTGAATGTAAAATGTAATCTTTATAATTAAAATATGGATATGTCCCAACCCTTCCCCAATTAGTGTTTATATTGTCAGTCTAAAGCACAACATCAAACAAATTAAACTGCTAAAATCAACAAAAATCATAGGTGAACATAAATAACACTCTAAGGTAAAACATTAATAAAGTGTTTTTAGTAATATTATTGATAACACTGAAGTATGTACTTGTTATGGTTATTTTTAAGAAACAGGATTACCAAGACATAATGGTGTTACATAATTTTGGTTAAACTACTTCAGATAACAGCAGAAGGTTGTAAAAAAATGGAAGTACCTGACGTGCAAGTCTTGGTGATGTTCTTCTGAATGCATCTCTTGAGAGGGCTGGTGAAGGCAGATAACTTTTAAAACTGTATGTGCTCTCTAGTTTAGGAGAGTTACTCACATTACTGGAACACTGGCTACACCTTGAACATGGGCGAGATCTCTCCTGTCATTGGAAAGATTTGGTACAAAATGGGGTTTTAACTAAATCAGAAGGAGAGGGATTTTTTATAATTATTTTGTTTATGGTAATTTGTTTATAAGTAGAATATTGACACATTTTGAAGCTTGCAAGAGTGAAATAAATGAGACATTTTTAATAATGAGAAACTAAATGAGCCTGAACTAAAATATTTGTACTTACATGCAAGCCGATAGTCTCAGCTGTGATAGATTTTTCTATTAAAGGTGGGGTAGGGCTTGTGGAATGACTTGTTCGAAAACTGACAGACGTGGAAGATCTTAGTGCCTCCACCTCACGCTTTAGAAGGTAGACCTTCTTCTCTAAGCTAGAGTTAACACAACAATGTATTACTGCTGGAATATCTTTGTCTTTTAAGTATCATCATGAGAATTTGCATAAACACATTAGATTAAAACTGAACTAATAAAGTGAGATTAGTTCTTGTAATGTCTAATTGGATAAGTCTAGTTACAAGCTGTTAATGAATAAGATATTTTATCTCTGAAGTAAGAATAAGATATTTTATCACTGAAGTAATTCATTTCTCTTTGTTTAAATATTGATTAAAGTGCAACCATGTAATTATATTATGCCAAAACTAGATATGCCTACATAAGTAATAAGATTTAGGACTACCTTCTTTTGGCTCTAAGTAAGTTGGCAATATCAGCACACAATGGTACAATCCCTACCTTCTTTTGGCTCTAAGTAAGTTGGCAATATCAGCGCACAGTGGTACAATCCCTACCTTCTTTTGGCTCTAAGTAAGTTGGCAATATCAGCACACAATGGTACAATCCCTACCTTCTTTTGGCTCTAAGTAAGTTGGCAATATCAGCACACAGTGGTACAATCCCTACCTTCTTTTGGCTCTAAGTAAGTTGGCAATATCAGCACACAATGGTACAATCCCTACCTTCTTTTGGCTCTAAGTAAGTTGGCAATATCAGCACACAATGGTACAATCCCTACCTTCTTTTGGCTCTAAGTAAGTTGGCAATATCAGCACACAATGGTACAATCCCTACCTTCTTTTGGCTCTAAGTAAGTTGGCAATATCAGCACACAATGGTACAATCCCTACCTTCTTTTGGCTCTAAGTAAGTTGGCAATATCAGCACACAATGGTACAATCCCTACCTTCTTTTGGCTCTAAGTAAGTTGGCAATATCAGCACACAATGGTACAATCCCTACCTTCTTTTGGCTCTAAGTAAGTTGGCAATATCAGCGCACAGTGGTACAATCCCTACCTTCTTTTGGCTCTAAGTAAGTTGGCAATATCAGCACACAATGGTACAATCCCTTTCCTGGTACTGTTGACCACAAATGCTACAGCTCTGGCTGCCACCTCTTTATCCTCAACAAGTCCATTCAGTTCTGGAGAGCTACCTAGGAACATAAGCAGCACAACTTTCACTACATCAGTTCATGCCATGACTAAGTCAAAAAGTAGACTAATACAACAATCACTTGCAGGTAAAAGTGGATAAAGGACAAATACTATTTGTCCTTAAACAGATTTGCAGGGAGACAAGTAGGATAGTTTCTATGACCAACATAACACACCTATTTACTGTTACAGTTGTAAATGTGAAAGCAACTTTTCTTTAAACCCAGGCTGCAGGTACAAAAGATGGCATCAATACAAAAACCAGCAAACTAATCAAGTAACTAATAGCTGCTAGCAATAAACCAGACGACTGTTATGATTGTAGGTTATGGTAGCCCCCCCCCCCCCCCCCCCTTAGTTTGTTCCCTTACTTTCTTAGGTAGAACAATGATGCAGTATACAAACATAGAGATGGTATAAGGAGTGTGCTGGCACATGGAAATAATGCCAGTGTTTAGAGACAAAGGATTGGTATGTTAAAGATAAAGTGATTCCTGTTTGAGTTAAGATGTCTGTGTCATGTAGTACTGCTTATTTATGAACATTTAATTTCATACTCCATTGTTTTATTTTGTTATCACCTCAACATAAGATTCCAATAATAAAATTAGGCCTACATCTACATCTAAGTATGAAAGACAACTACACCAGCTTCAAGTTAACCAAGTTCTCTGCCCATAAGCATATAAACAAAATACACCATAGATACCATCCTTCAAGATTAAAAAGTTAGCATATAACATCACTAGAAACAATAACAAGGCCTACTTTAAATGATTCTACACTTTTTTCACCATATTTTCCTCACCCCCCCCCCCCCCCCCCCCCATCTCCCCCACCTTCACAAAACTTCGAACCCCCTCCCCTATAGGAGTGTGACATCATGAAATGTGTAGGACTGTTTGATGATATTTAGACAGTTCATGTAGGAACTTCAATAATTGGCTTACACTGTGTGTACAGTGTAGTATCGCATGTACACTAATGCATGCCGTGAGGTCTGTTGGCATCTAAGAGCAGCATAGCCAGCGAGATAGTGAGACGGGTTATCTATAGGCACTCCTTACGCATACCAGCAGTTTTTTTAAGTCACGGTAAGACAAAAGGATTATAAGGAAACAGCAATAAAAGTACAGCTCTACCTTAGCGTGGAGACCTAAGCAACCCATACAGTGTATGGTACACCTAGCGTAAACACGCTCTGAGGACGAAACGACCTGGGGAAGAATGGGAACTACTCGCATGGAATGTCTGCACTTCGAGGGTTGTAGGGAAAGTTTCGTTGGCTTCTTTCTTCTTTTCCTAACCTAGACTAGCATCAATATTATTTTTAAGTAAATTGTTAAGGTCAGGCAAGATGAAAAGAGAGGTAGTGAATAATTTGTGTAAACGATGTACCCCACACGCGTTCAGTACTCAGCCTGCTCGCAGCTTAAATAACTGTATGGTGTACGCACTTGTATTTAGGACAGAGGGGGGCGGGGTGGAACTTAGCAGAACAGCCGAAAGACTAGAAATTTATCAGATGGAATTCGTGTAGTCTGTATCAAAAGAATTCACATTGAATAGTTGAGTGAGTTTGTACATGTTGTGTGTAGCCGGGGCTTGAGACGGGAGGTGTCGTGGGGTGCCGTAGAACGAGTCGGATCGATGATATTGTTTTTCTTGTACAACCATTCATTCCTGCGGCCGTTTTTTTTATTTTTATTTTATTTTTACATTCCTGTTTGAAAAAGTATTTCTCCTCTTTAAAACTGATAAGAATTCTACCAGTCGAAATTGTGCAGAGGTTTTAGATAAAAACATCGAGAGAAAAAAAAATTCCAGATGATGCTCCCATGTCAGGTTGTTTTCGTAGCCCTCGCCCCACCTCCTATATCATATCCTTCAACTTTCAAACATAGCATACAGGAGAAATTATACTCTTCATTTATAATGTTGAATGGCTAATAAACAAAAGAGCTTGGAGGTCGTTCATAAATGACGTCACGCACACATTGGGGGGGGGGGGGGGGGGGATCAGCGGGATGGGGAGACGTAGGTTTATAAAACCTAACTTAGCATATAGATTTCTAGACTTATGAATCAATATGAATACTTTTAGTAGACCCTACACAAAATATCAATAATTAATATTATGGTCATTTTCTTTACGAACTACTTTATTTCTATGATTATTTATACTTTTAGTAGGCTCTACACAAAATATCAATAATTAATATTATGGTTTAATTTCTTTACGGACTGCCCGATGTCATTTTATGGGCGTCCAGTTATTTACGGCGATAGGGGGCGGGAGGTGGTGATTAAAAAGCTCGTCTAAAATAGCGTGACGTCATTTATTGTTTTGCGGCTGTAAACATTCGAAAAAGGTCATCTAACGACGATCCGCATCATCACTTGAATGCTTCAATGGATTTTTTAGCCTATATTTCTAAAATTAGCAGTTTGAAATCCTCTATCGTTAAAAATTATGTTTAAATAAGTAACGACAACCTAGCTATCCGATTTAGATCTAGATCTAGAAGAGTCCAATGACACAGCAAGAGATCTTTTAGCGGAATTCAATTGGTTAAAATGAAAGAAAATGTACTCATTAATTATCACGAGACAGAGAAATGACTCTGAACAGGTTCGTTCAAGTTAGATAACAGGTTTAGGGCAGTTATGGGTGAGCGGTGAGCGTTAGGTTATGGGTGAGTGCTAGGTTTTGGGTAAGATACCAAGTTTGGCATTACATGACATAAAGTATCAAACGACATAAATTAGATCTTAGTCTTGGAATTAATATGAGGCCATTTAAATATGTAAAATATTCCTACTAGCCTATCCTAGACCATTGTAGATCTAGCAGGGGTCGTCCATAAATGACGTCACACTCGTAGGCAGAGTTTCTTCCAGGCATCTCTTCGGGGGGGGGGGGGGCGAAGCCCCCCCCCCCCCCCCGAAATTTTTTTACCGCCCCCCCCCCCCCCGAACGAAATGAAATTTATATAATTTATATAGAAAATATATAGTTTTAACAGTGTCCGCCCCCCCCCCCGAAGAAAGTTTACCGCCCCCCCGAAGATTTCAAGTGCCCCCCCCCCCCCCCGGAGAAAAAAGTCTGGAAGAAACACTGCTCGTAGGGGAGAGGGGGGGCGTAATTTTGTGACGGTGTGTGATGAGGGGGAGGGGGGGGGTTCAGATGGTGTGACGTCACTTTTTTGCATTAAAAAAAGCAATGTTAGAAAACGAGTTTTAGCCGTTATTTCGCGTTTTAGAAAAGGTTTTAATAAATTTTAATAGGAATGATCAAAATACTCTGTTGAGAGAGTTCAGACAAGATTTTGGAAAAATATCGATGTTTTAAAAAAATTCAACAGCAATTTTGAGGGGGGGGGGGGGAGTTGTAGGGGGATCTGGCTTTTTGTGACGACGTGTGACGGAGGGGGGGGGAGGGGGGAAAGGTAAAAATCGTCCAAAAAAGCGTGGCGTCATTTATGGACGACCCCTAGCAGTGATTGTTTTGTTGGCCTAATATGAACATAGACAAGAGTTCAGGCACTTCACTCACTAAGCACTGCGAGTAAAACCTTTCAATGGCCACAGAATAAGCTCAATATTTCTAAAAATGCCGAAAAGTTTGGACATTTTTAAAAATTCTCACTTTATTTACAAGTGGGGCTTGTTTGGTTTTTGTTTTGAGGTGTTTTTTTTTTTTTTTTTTTTTTTTTTTTTTTACTTCAGCTGTTGAATTTTAATAACAGTAAGCCAACCAACAAAAATTAATGGAACATTAAGATTTTAAGTGAAATTTGTGTGTATATCTATCTAGATCAATAAATTAATTAAAATTAACTACCATATCTACATCTAGATCTAGAATTCTATAGATCTAGAATCTAGATCTATATCTAGATTATTACTTTTACTAGACTATGGACTGGCACAAGGCTAAGACTTAAGACAGGTTAGACGAGATCTAGATTTTTTCTAGAGTCTAGATTTTGTAGAGTCTAGAGTTAAAGATACAAACACACCACATGGATTATGTGTTTCACTGTTTTTTATTACATCAACACTACACTACAGTCAACAGTGATAACAGTCACTAGAGTACAATCTAGCAAGGAAAACACTCAACTACTCACTCAGTCACTCAGTGAGAAAAAAAAACTCACCAATATTTAGTCCCGATATGGAGCTGATTTCATTTTCCCAGTTCAACCAAGTACTTCCAGTATTGTCACTTAAAGGTGGACTATGATCTTCGTTAGTACAATCCATTCCTAAAGTCATTTCAATATTGAGATAAGTCTACGTTACGGTGAAAACTGTGTGTATGACGTACGTGCATCACTGGCGGCCATTTTTTTCAAGAACAAAACTCTGACATAAATCTGGAACTCTCACTCGGGTTGAGTACAGCTGGAAGAACAGCCAAAACGGTTTACGATTAAGATTCCCAAGCAGAGTGTATGCTTCCGTGTGCTCACGAGTAAGCGAAACTCGTTTCGTTAAGGAAAACAGTTATGTAGTAAATGGATTTTGCGCCAGTATACGATTGCGTGGTCCAGTATTAAGACTGATGAAGTCTACTAAAGTCTTCTCTATGTAGAATGTTCGCCTTCCACTAACAGAATGTTAGGGCCTATATATTTATTTTCGTATTGTAAGCCCGCCTGTTTGGTTTATTTATCAAGTCGAATGGCACTCGTTTCAATGCTTACTTTAGCCTTTAACGCGATGTAGAGCTACATGGAGGCTGTGTTTCTTTCAGGCATCTCTTAGTCTTCGGGGGACACTCCCCCCCCCCCCCCTTACCTTGAACGAAATCGAATTTATATAGAAAATATATACTTTTATCAGTGCCCGCCCCCCCCCCCCCCAAGGAAAATTATGTTCGCCCTTTTTAAATACGTAACAAAACTTTCTTTCCTCTGTAAATTTTGCAGTTGGTGTAGCCCACCCCCCCCCCCACCCCCGCCCCCATGGTGATAGTTTTAAAGAGTGCACAGTTAATAGTAAGGATGTTTATCTATAGTCAGTTATTAATACAGTGGATTGACTCTAAGTAACCCTTAATTGAACTGACAAAAAGCATATTTCTTCTATATATTTTGCAAGTTTTCACCTTGGGGCCCCCCTCCCCCCCCCCCCAAAAAAAACGGTGTCACCCGGTGCGGTCCGCACGGCCCCCACCCGCTACGCCTCTGAGTGTTAGTATCCTCAAAAATTAAATACAATAGCAAGTACAGTGGATGTTTCGACTCAAGGTCTTCATCAGAGTACAAATATTTGACTTCCAAGAATTATGGCTATCCGTTACTCATGGAATCCTAGTCTATTTTGATGAAAGATGAATCAGTAAACTTCCATTCAGTTTTTTCCAGGCATCTCTTCGGGCCACCCCTACCCCCCCCCCCCCCCGAAGAAAGTCTACCCCCCCCCCCCCCCCCACCCCGCCCGAACGAAATGGAATTTAAATAGAAAATGTATACTTTTTAAAGTGTCGCCCCCCCTGGGAAAATTTAGTCGTCCCCTCCCCCCCCCCCCCCCCGAAAATTTTAAGTGCCCCCTCCCCTCCCGGAGAAAAAAGTCTGGAAGAAACACTGCTCCAATCTTAGTCAGCATGGTTGCCAATGCATTTTTCGTATTCTGTGGGCGCTAAGTCCAAGTTACCACGCTGGTCCCATACAGAGGCGGAGCAAGGAAGGGGCGTGGGATGACACCCGACCTCTCGCCGTCACTGGTGTCACTTTTCATAGATATCTGATGGACGCAGTGGCGTAGCGAGGTCGGGTGTCACCTGGTGCGGCACTTAATGGTGTCACCCTCCAGAGGCGTAGCAACCCTTCCCGGGGACAAACTTTCAAATTTTCGATTTGCATCCCCCCCCCCTCAAACTTTTGATTTGCACCCCCCCCCCCTCAAACTTTCGATTTGCATCCCCCCCCCCCCCCTCAAACTTTCGATTTGCACCCCCCCCCCCTCAGGTTTTCGATTTGCACCCCTCTCATTTTTTTCTCTATATATTTCGCTATTTTTTGCCTTGGTGTCACTCCCCTAAATGGTGTCACCCGGTGCGGTCCGCACCCCCCCCCCCCTCACTACGCCCCTGGATGGACGTCGTCATATTCTGGCAAAAGATGAGACACACATAGCACATTTTTAATGCTACGTTTCGTGTTTAAAAAATTCGTAACCATGCATGACCCTCTACAACATACCGTTGTTGGAGTTTTTAATGAGGTTGACTCCCCTGACTGTCTTTTAAAGGCCATTGTGTTGTTTCAGTATCAATAGAACTTGTGAATCAGCTTTCAACTACTTTTTAATTGATGCTAAAACGTCTTTACGGGTACCTTCAGTATCTCTGTACCGCCAAAGTATCTGAACGGGTCCATTCACAATCTTTTTATCGCAAATGCCAAAACAAATGTAGCCCACCTGTATTTCGATCATCTCTGAGTGTCTTTGATATGGTGCTCTCCCTGAGACCAAAGAAGAGGAGCACATTTTTTTTTTATTCTTGTCGTATCCACCAACGATTCCCAAGACCTTTGTTGGGGCGATAAAGCGGGGAATGCGAAATGGGCTGTGTCCCGCCTAGTTAAGAAACTAACCATAATGTCATGACATAATGACATGAGGTAGCCGTTCAGCAGTTGTGGTGGCTGGTTAAAGAAACTATTACATGAATACAAACTCAACGGAAAGTTTAGGATTGTCTTGTATTTGGAAATCGTTGAAACAACGCTGTCACATCTCTGCGCGTTTTGTGTGAAATTTGATGGAAAACTACTAAATCTGCATACGGTTCCGTGTGGGACTTGATACTAACTCTATTACATCAACTCACGTTTCATACCTTGTGGATAGTTATTCACCTCACGACACATCTCAGACGCTGCCCGTTGTAGAAACTTACTTGCTCTTCTGTAACAGCGTCCACTTTGGGAGGAGGGGGGGGGGACAATCAAGTGTAAAAAAAATAGATCGGACTTACATGTTACACTCTCGCTTTCGGTAATAAGTTGAAAATTTCTGCTGGAATAATTGAATTAAGACTGTAAATATAGCATTCGTATGGTGTATTCTACATGGAGGCTAGGCTTATATAGGCCTATAGGGCTGGTAAGTAGGTCACCAACCAGTTCTATGGCTCATGCAAGTTTTATTGAGCCGTTGAACTGGTTGGTGACCTACTTACCAGCCCTATAGGTAGACTAGATATTCGATGCAGGGATGACATCCTGGAACACTGCATCGGATGACAACCGACCCAGTGGCGCCACTTTATTGATCTGTTTCGACAAAATGATTAAACCTTATCTAACTCGCAAAAGGGTACATACAGCCTACATTTTTCATGCAAAACACAGTTTCTTCCAGGCATCTCTTCGAAGAAAGTCTACCGCCTCACCCCCCCCCCCCCCGAACGAGATGGATTTTATATAATAAACATACACTTTTACTAGTGTCCGCCCCCACCCCCCGAAAAATGTTGACCGCCCCCCCCCCCCCGGAGAAAAAAGTCTGGAAGAAACACTGAACACAGTTGATGCATACCTTCCCATACAGTCAACCAGTGTTTCTTTCGGACGTCGTCATATTCTGGCAAAAGATGAGACACACATAGCACATTTTTAATGCTACGTTTCGTGTTTAAAAAATTCGTAACCATGCATGACCCTCTACAACATACCGTTGTTGGAGTTTTTAATGAGGTTGACTCCCCTGACTGTCTTTTAAAGGCCATTGTGTTGTTTCAGTATCAATAGAACTTGTGAATCAGCTTTCAACTACTTTTTAATTGATGCTAAAACGTCTTTACGGGTACCTTCAGTATCTCTGTACCGCCAAAGTATCTGAACGGGTCCATTCACAATCTTTTTATCGCAAATGCCAAAACAAATGTAGCCCACCTGTATTTCGATCATCTCTGAGTGTCTTTGATATGGTGCTCTCCCTGAGACCAAAGAAGAGGAGCACATTTTTTTTTTATTCTTGTCGTATCCACCAACGATTCCCAAGACCTTTGTTGGGGCGATAAAGCGGGGAATGCGAAATGGGCTGTGTCCCGCCTAGTTAAGAAACTAACCATAATGTCATGACATAATGACATGAGGTAGCCGTTCAGCAGTTGTGGTGGCTGGTTAAAGAAACTATTACATGAATACAAACTCAACGGAAAGTTTAGGATTGTCTTGTATTTGGAAATCGTTGAAACAACGCTGTCACATCTCTGCGCGTTTTGTGTGAAATTTGATGGAAAACTACTAAATCTGCATACGGTTCCGTGTGGGACTTGATACTAACTCTATTACATCAACTCACGTTTCATACCTTGTGGATAGTTATTCACCTCACGACACATCTCAGACGCTGCCCGTTGTAGAAACTTACTTGCTCTTCTGTAACAGCGTCCACTTTGGGAGGAGGGGGGGGGGACAATCAAGTGTAAAAAAAATAGATCGGACTTACATGTTACACTCTCGCTTTCGGTAATAAGTTGAAAATTTCTGCTGGAATAATTGAATTAAGACTGTAAATATAGCATTCGTATGGTGTATTCTACATGGAGGCTAGGCTTATATAGGCCTATAGGGCTGGTAAGTAGGTCACCAACCAGTTCTATGGCTCATGCAAGTTTTATTGAGCCGTTGAACTGGTTGGTGACCTACTTACCAGCCCTATAGGTAGACTAGATATTCGATGCAGGGATGACATCCTGGAACACTGCATCGGATGACAACCGACCCAGTGGCGCCACTTTATTGATCTGTTTCGACAAAATGATTAAACCTTATCTAACTCGCAAAAGGGTACATACAGCCTACATTTTTCATGCAAAACACAGTTTCTTCCAGGCATCTCTTCGAAGAAAGTCTACCGCCTCACCCCCCCCCCCCCGAACGAGATGGATTTTATATAATAAACATACACTTTTACTAGTGTCCGCCCCCACCCCCCGAAAAATGTTGACCGCCCCCCCCCCCCCGGAGAAAAAAGTCTGGAAGAAACACTGAACACAGTTGATGCATACCTTCCCATACAGTCAACCAGTGTTTCTTTCGGACTTTTTTCTTCGATGAGGGGGTTGGAGGAGGCACTCCCGAAGAGGTGCATGAAAGAAACACTGCAGTCAATTCGGGGTTTTGGTAGATGGGCTTAAGTTTAGTCCAAGCGTAGCTCCATGGCATACGACAAAGTTGACGTCACGATAGTGTGTTAAATTTGATGCTCAAATAAGTTTTCTGAATTTGGTTCTTCGTGGTCAATGATGATATAACACTTCTCATTTTGTTTAAATTTTTAAACTTCGTGATCTGAATGAAAGTACTTGGCACTCGGTTTGACTATACATAACTGTACGCTAATCTGTTAAGATATAGCATATTTCGTCCTACTACGTAATATCGAGATTTGTTGCACTTCTTTAAGAACAAACTAGGCCTATTAATTGTATTTTATTGAATTCTCACAATGTCGGTCTCTGTTACTACTTTTAGTATGTTGATTTGGAGCCCGATCAGTGTCAATGTTTTTACTCTATTTTGTCGGTTTTTCGTGCCGTTTTGGAACTTTTTACAATAATGTGAATTCCGACAGATATTATTTTAGTTCCAAGCATTTACATTCCGACAATTCTAAAAGAAGAGATTACAAAATAAAGGATCAATAGCTAGATCTACATATTTTAAACAATGTAACTGCTTTATATCATCATTTAAAATCGGTTGTCTAGTTACTATTTATTTTGAGGTAAACAGAATGATAAAAGTAGTAAAAGCAAGATTGAATGTAGCGTGTCGATCTCGCCGAAAGCAAATGTTTAGTTGTGATAAATAGACCATTCTAAACTCTCTAACCAGTTCCTAACATTTCAACCAGCTTTTTCGGTACTAACGTATTGATTATTTTATTTTTTTCTATTTGCAAGTTATGTTTTAAAATACAGATGAACCTTACATAAACCATAAGCGCACTATATATATTAATTGTAATTTCTACAGACTTATTATCTAGTTAGAGAGCTATTTCTCATATAAAGGTCAACCTATTTTTGGTACAACAAATGTGTTGTGGCCCCGACTCAAGTGTGTAGTTAGAAAAAATTACGAGGCGAGGAGTTTACACTAACACTACGGTAGAGATAAGTTATTATATTTTTGTTACCTGTGTAGTCTGTATCACTCTATTATCTTATTTAGGCGTTTTTTTTATTAAATTTGCCATTTTAGTTTTCACAAAACAGATCGACCAGTGGTTATGGCAGTTTTTGTAAAGAAATTGAATAAGCAGTGTGAGCTGGAATACAGTACCGGGGCCTAACCTACCAACCAGAGAAGCACTCTCTCCACAACTACTAAGCTAATTTCAAGACTGCACTAGGCTGATTCTGTGGTGAAACCAATGAAATGTAGCAGGTTTTTACATGCTTCAAACACAAGGCTGGTTGAATTACAAATTTGAAAGCAGTTAAAATGATGGATGATTATGATCCTGCATGTCCTACTGAAGAGTAAGTTGATTGCAGTTAGAGTGTTGTGGTGGTAGGCTACAGCCTATTAATAGACATTGTCAGTAGGCCTATAGTATAGTCAGAGATATAGATCTAGGTTCTAGTAGTGAATTGGTTATAAAATAATTGAAATTTATATAGGACCTAGATCTAAAAACTTCCTTGTACTAATACTAGGCCTATGAAAGTTATGAACAATAAAATCTCACTGAAGTTACTGCTATAAGACAGCAGTTGTGTTTGTACAACTAATGAAACTTTAATTATGTAATCAGAGATAGGGTAATCACACCCTTTGCTTAAAATCCACCATACTGAAGTTTTCAAAAACAAACATTTGATCAAAGTTGTGCTGGCTTTAACCCTTTCCCCGGCAACATATTTGGTACCCTGTCCCCGGCAACTGGGTGGATCACACCCAAAGACTTTCTTATAGTAAATTCTTTTCTTTGTTCATTGTGGGGTGGGTAACAATACTGACACAGTTGAGGTATTCAGGGCACAGAGGCCATGGGGAACACAAGACATGTTGTTGTCAATGGGAGAGCTGTAATATGATACTAGTGGTTGATGGGATTCTCAAGCAAGAGTTAACCTGTGGGTGGACACATGTAGTGATTTATACTCTTTGCTGGAGCTCTGACTTGCAGTTACAGACAGAACTGTAGTTTAGAGTTACAATAGGTTAATGAAATGCAGGGGTAAGATTGCCTGTGGGAGGACATATATAGTGATTTGTACTCTTTTAGGGAGCTCTGGAATGTAGATAATTCGAGCCTTTTAGAGTAACTTGACATTTACCTCATTAGGAGTACGAATGAGGACAAAAAGGCAAACCAACTTTGTAATGCTGCTTGTAAGTTAATACTGGGCAATTAATTGATCAAACTGGAAGTGGGTGGGTATTCTACAGGTTGTGACCCTGAGAGTAAGGTTTATAAATAGTCACAAACGTTATTGAGAACACAACAGAAACAAGTCTTGAACGCTTTTGTCTAAACTCAAGTGCTAATGATAAAGGAATATATTTGCCAGTTTTAGTATAGCAGGTGAAAATGACCAACAAGTTTTGAGTCTGAACTATTAGTATCAGAGGTAGAAGATGAAGAATGGCAGCCAACAGTATCAAGCAGCTCTGATGACGAGGTCTACCCACTATACTGCATTTCAACTATCAATAATGTGTCAACAGTTGGCACTCATAATGAAATGAAACGGCTGGTGCAAAGTGAAGAAAAAGAAATATTTTCAGGAAAGACAAAGTAACAGTACACTAGACCACTGCCTGAAGTGCTAATCCCAGGAAATTTATAAACAGCCTGACCCTAAATATTTCTTTTGTGCATGAATACAAAAAATAATACAACCAATATTTGACTGCATTAGCAGAGATGGAGAGAAAGCAAGAGGAGACACTGGCACTCTGCAGAATAACAATTTAGTTGTATGTCAATTCAGTTCTGCTTATGGAAGTTTTTCAAGGCAGAATTTTCTATGAAGAAATTCAGCAACCTTCTGGGTCATATTCACTTCACAACAATAACACTAACAGTCCATCAGGCTCATGGTATATTTGCTTCCATTATGGTAGATATTCCATTCAAATTTAGAAAGGTGTTATGTTTCTGGAGAGATCATTACTAATTAGCAAGTGGTTGATTTTAGAGGTGGGAGTAGATTTATCCAATACATACCAAGCAATTCCGATAAGTATGGAATTAAAATATTTTGGACATGTGACTCATGTAACACCACTAAAAGGGTGCCCATATTTTATTAAAAAAAACAACTAAAGTTCCCTGCCAGCAAAAGGAAATGTCCAGTTATTTTAATTTTAACTAACAACTGTGCTCTCTGAGGTGCAAATTTTTAAAACGTGTTAATGTTCAAATATTTTGTTACTAAAGTTGATTACTTCAATTGGTTTGATATTTTTGTTACTCAAATACCTTCAGATTGTTAATTTATAGTTAAACTTTGAAAATGTAACACAATGACTTAACCCACAATGAGTAAAATCAAATTGTTAGAAGCCAGTTTATAAGTTATAAATATTTTTTCCATTCAAAATTGTGTACGGGTGTGTAGCACCCAGTTGCCAGGGACCGTATAAAAAAATTTCAAACCCTCATAAAAATTTTTTTTACGCATATTTTTAAAATTTACAACCTCCAATGTGTTCATCCCAACCACCTTATAGATGGGAATGAGGCCCAGAAAAATTTATAAAACGAGACTCGAGATATGAGCAAAAATATAGCGACTTCGGGTGGATTACACCCAGTCGCCGGGGAAAGGGTTAAAATAATGATTTTATACAAAGAGAATAGGCCTAAGTGTTTTTAAAATAGAATATGTTAAGTAGGCCTAGTCTATGTGATTACTAAATTAAACTACTAAGGAAGTAGGCCTTCTGTTGTAGTACTAGCCTGCTATAAAATAAATATTATTAATTTAGGCCTATAGGCTATAGGCCCCTACAATTTAAAATAAATAATAGTTTTAGTGGATAAAAAATAAGTTGGTGTATTTGACTTGACTAAGTATCATTAGTATAACTTAAAAACTTAAAACTAATGCAGCAAATAAGTGGCATATGGTACTAGTTAGATTTACTAGCCTACTACTTCTATTTTTACTACTTCCATACAGTTACAGGCAGCCTAAGATTTGCATTCAACGGCAACTCATGGACTGACTCTAGTGCCATTCTATCATATTCTAAATTCTAATAGTAATGCTAATAGACTTACACTGAAGTGGTATTTGTGAACATGTCTTGAACTTAAACATTTAGGCCTAACATATTTTACAGTAGATTTGTGTTATGGTTAAAGAAAAATAATGGAAAGTTAAAGTATGAACTAGATTAGATGTAGTACAAATATTCTTAAACTAACTTGTTAACAATGACTAATGCAACACCAATGATGTTATTTGTGTTGATCTGGTATTTTCAACATCCTCTACCTGTACATGTTATGGTGTTTTTTTTTCTGCTGATGTTGATCCTACTTTTAGAAACTAGAGCTAGAAGAGATGTAAAAATCTCTTCTCCTTCTCCCTCAACCATGCTTATGTGCTAGAATCTTATCAGTTACTATTGTTGTTCTTTAAATAGGGTGGGGGTTAAACAAACTTGGCTCATATGGTTTTCTGAATAAATAACTTTCATACTTTTCAGTATAATTTTTCCTTAAAAAAATTTCATACTGTTTAAACTTATATATATATTGAATATTTCTTTCACATAATTTAATGGCAGAAAAAGTTCTTAACAGTGCCATAAATAATTTGTCTGCCCCCCCCCCAATACAATTTAAGTGTTATTAACTTTCTTGATCTAGTTTACATTGAACTACTAAATGACAGGTGAATTGTATTATGTTAAGCATAATAGTACTCAAATGCACAACTGATAACTAAAGTATGGCCTTGATTACTTGGATTTATTACCATTTATTCTATAACTAATTAACTTTGATTTTTGAATAACATACAGGTACTAAAATCAAAGCAAAAATGTAATTATAATTTATAATAATAATAAACGTTGGAGTACATTGAAGGTTAGCACATGTTTTTATTTTTACACCACGTAATACATTTTAAACATTTTTTCATCACATAGATTACAAATTCTACTTCAATAACATTTTCTCTTTATATAAAAGCTTCATTATTTATGGTGGCTATTAATATTTAAAGTAAAGCCAGCACTACTTATGTTAAAATGTGAGTTTTAAAAACTTCAGCATGGCGTAGGTTAAACAAAGTGTGTGATTACCTAACTTGAGATTACTAATTAAAGACCATTCTTAAATACCAGAATCAAATTCTTATTTTTCTTTGATATGTAATTATGGAACTTAACACCAGTGGATTTGACTAACAAACAAATATAGAATAATACTGCAGCTAAGAATGATAATTTATTTAGCCTGCTTGCTTTTATTTTAGTGAAAATACTTTAAAATATGCACATACCTAACCTGGTTATGTGGAGAAAGAAAAAAACTTTTAAATGAAAACAAATAATTTTTAACTTTTTGTGTTATATGGTCTGATCCTCAAAATTTACACTATTTATTATCAAATGGCTTGTCCCATCCAAATAACAATACTGTTTGTTTTATGGTGTCATTTAATTTTTCCCATTGGCATAGATACAGGTAAATACATTACTATTAAAGGATTAGTAATACACAATTACAGTACTACAGAGTAAATATTAAATAAATTGGAAACCTAAATTCTTTCAATTTTGCCTGCAGTAAATAGTTGTATTTTATTTTCACCTAGTTAGCTTCTGAAAAGACTGAATTTTCAAGCTTTTTAACCAACATTCTTAAACGTCTGTACATTTTTAAAGCACAAGTTACTAAAGTACCTTATTGCATAATAGTTAATAGTTTCTCAAAATGGGAACACAGATGTATTTACTATAAATAAAAAAATGAAAGTGAGTCATTTTCATTTTAAACTTCAATAGACAACATGTATAACTTAAAATTTACATTATAATTTGATATTGTTTTGCTAATGTTAGTTGAGGTTTGATGAATGCTACTTTTAAGTTACTTTTTTATATATCATTATCAGACTGCATTATTAAGAAAGGGTTTTGCAAAAGCTATGTACATATTATGCATGTAGTGTTAGAAAATAGAGATGATTTGAGTCTTGCAACAAATAAAATTATATTTTATTTCAATTCTTCAGTTATTTTTACATTGATTACACATATTGTTAGGCTTGAACTTGAGTAAACTTTACCATTCTCAGTAATCTCAGTAATGGGTGTTGGCAATTAAGTAGGCTAGACATAGTTCTGGTATATCATTGTTGTAATTGACAAACCCAGCAAAGCAATTTACTTATTGAACAAACGCACTAAGTAGGTTTAAGTTTAAAATCCAGAGTTGAATTTAAACAAAATACTGAAATGTAAAAAAAAATTGTTTGTAACCACATTCTTTTAAGATCTAAATCAAAATGTATTAGGTTTTGTTTTATTATACATTTTTATAAAATGAAATTTTGTGTTTGCTTATTTACCTTGCTGCTTAATAGCAGCTAAATATCATGAAAAGGAGATCCAAGTAATAAACTGCATTTTTTAGCTGACAACTAATAGCTATGAACAATGTCTAGTCTACTGCTATTTGTTTTTACTAACCCCATCTGTGGTTGTATAAGTTCATGTTTTAGTTTAATTTAGCATTCTACACTTCATCACTTTTCTTTTACAGAGACGATAGTCAGGTATCAGTTATGGAATTGGACCTTTCTCAAGTCCCACTTCCACCATCAGCACCAGTACAGAAAAAAAACAGCAAAAGCAAAGCTAGGTCACCATCGCCACATGTTACTGCAAAAGAAGGGAACAAAAAAGGCAAGAGGAGGAAGAAAAAGAAAAGGCATAGTTCATCAAAATATCAGACGGATGAAGATGACGATGTGCAAGAGGTGAGATTTTTAAAATTATTTTTAAGTCATTATTATACAGTCAATCTATGAAATTCTTGATAGTCTTAATTTAAAGGTCAATGTTTGTGATGTGGATGTAAATTATTTTCTTGGTGAATTGCCAATGCAGCCTAATTATTTACTGGTAACTTAATAATGGATAGGACATTTCTGAATGATTGCTGTACATCTTATCAATCAGTGAGATATTTCTGTTTATTTTTGTTTTCCTGTCTGATGTCCAGACTTTATGGAACATGTATTTCTTATGTTTGGTGTGCCTTGAAACTAGTTGGGCTCAGTCAAGTACTATGTTAAGGATCTAATTAAAACTATCTGAATTCAAATTAGAATCCTTTATCCTACCTGTCTTTTTTCTCTTGAAAACACCTTCTCAACACTATGTGAAACTTATTTATTTTCTGTAACAGGTTACTTGTAGTTGTAGGAGTCATCTTTCCTATACTTTTTATTATACTATACCAAATAAATTCACATTTAGAATACAGAGACAAAAATGCACCTGGTAACAAACATCAAGTAATGATTCTTCATTGTTTTTAAAAAACAAACTCTTTACTATAGGGCGCAACTAATTTTCTTTTTTAACCTTAATGAGATTATTTTTTAACACTTAATGAACTTTACATCTGTCCTATTGACTTTCAGGTCTCAAGGATATATTTTTTATGTATAAAAGTATAATATTTATGATCACGTGAATCTAAAATCTAATAGTGTAAACTCAAAAAGTAACCTAAACACAACTTTTTCTTTTTGGCAATCAGTTCTGGAGAATTAAGGTGACTGCTGTAAAGTCATGTGATTAATGTGGTATCTTTTAAATGTTTTTACAGTTTTTTTGTTCTTTTACTGTGATCTTGTGCTTTTCATTGCATGTTTTTTAAAAAATATTTTTGGGGTCATCCATACACATCCACAAAGGAGGAATCTGACATTTAAAACATCCATTTACTTATAGGATACACCAAACATCCTGTAAATAAAAAGTTATAGTGTCTATATTGATGGATGACCACTTTAGGATAATCTTTCCAGCTTGTCATATTATTGTGTGTGGTCAAACTGGTCATTGGAAGTACTTTAGCGATGTCACAAAAGAGGGCTGCTTATTCTTTGAGTTACTAAAACACATTTTATTCCTGTGTTTGGTGGCTCTTGGTTATTTGTTATGCATCATGTAGGCCTACATCAATTACCTAAATACTGTTGACTCTCTTTTCTAAATGTCAAGCTTTCCATTTAAAACTCTTTTTATGTAGAGCTACAATCTACAAAAATAAAACTAAAATAGTGTTGCATTCTTTTTGTGTTTTGGCTAACTGTGCGGTTACTGTGTGTAGATATTTTTTATAGGTTATATAATATATAGTATAGGCCAATAGGTATGCCAAACATTACTTCATAATGCCAACTTAAAATATAAACTAACAAAAAGTATATAACGCTTATATTTTGCAAGTATGCAAGTGGCAGTAGAAATCCAGTTGTGCAGATTTCAGTTGATAACGTAGTGTGCAATGACATACTTTGTCATATTAGATTATAGGTCTCCTACTTACTAGGTCACGGTAAATTGAAGGTAGGCCTTGTTTACTTCATTTTAATTTTAAATTCTAACTAAAGAAATCTAGCAGATCTATCACTGATGCAGTTTATTGATACCAACCTCTATCATTGAACAATTTGTTGTAAAATACGAACCCAAGAACACATTAAAAATATAACATTTTTAAGAATCTAACTGTTTCGGGGTTGGCCTAGTTTAACTAATATTCTGGCTTTTGGCCGAGAGTGGGTCAAGATGGGATTTAACTCACGAAAATGAATACAAACAAATGACGTAGCATTTTAATTTTATACCAACTCAGTAAAATAGCTTTGGAAATGTGAGGTCTGCAATTGATTCTGTTGTTAGTTCTAGATACATAATCTACAATCACTTTGAAAAAAACATTAAAACAAATAGATTTAATAGGGATACTGGCATTATTATTCATAGGCCTGTAACTACAACTCGTAGACTAAATCTAGAATCTTTTAATGTTACAAGTAGCCTATGCCTAAACGTTGTGAAGTTTGTATTTTTATATTAATATCATTAGGCATAGTCTGTGTGCCTATGCAGCAGTATGCAGATAATTTCGAAAATCGACAACGGCACAAGTGACAATCTGTGTGCGCAGTATCCGATAGTTCTTTCCGTCTCGTCCTAGTTGAGTCTAGATCTCGAATCAAGTTCTCTAGTACTAGAAATCTAGTAGATCTTCTAGATCTATATACTCCAGTAATAATGCACCTACGCTAGGCCTAGATTTCTAGATCTAGAATCTAGGCCTACAGGTCTAGTTCTAGCAGTCATAACTAGAAAGGGCTTAAATATTAGGTTATATTAGACGATCTTTCCCCCTCATCTTTTTAGTTAAATAATCTAAATTTCAAGTCCTTTAATTTCCATATTCAACAGTTAGGCCTAGGCACCTAACCCTGAGATAGGCATAGGACTAAACGTGTACAGTAGCCAAGGCCACTACCATGAAATCTGCTGTCGTTTTAAGTAGGTCACCAATCCACCGCCGATCGAGGGGTCTAGGGCCAGTGTTGGCTGTTTGTCATTCTTTAACTTTAACACTTTGTCTTGTAAAATCTAGTGGAATAAACAACACAAGTAGACTTTATTTAAAAGGCAAAAAATTGTTACATTTTAAAATCTAATTTCTTATAACTAAGCGATATGCCTTGAACAATACCGTTATAAAGTTTATTTACCGCCAGTGCTCCCACAACGGCCGCGAGCACGCAGATCGATCTATTTTTAGCTAAGCGTAGGAATATTTAATATAGCCTAGCCTAGACTAATAGAACTACGCTCTTTACCAATACTTAGATTCTAGATCTAAACTAGATTCTAGGCCTATTTAGAACATGCTTTTTAGTTACACCCGTAGACTACTTTATATTACCTTATATTTAAATCGTAATTTTGCTCATACTTCAACACTCATTTTTTTTTTACAGTTTATTCCATTTCTTGCATAAAATTTACTAGAAAAAAAGTTTACTAGATCTAGATCAAGATCCATAAGTCTAATTCTAGAGATTATATAGATCTATCACCGTTCAATATAATAATGATGACATTTCATTGACCGAGATCTAGATATAGATCTAGCTGTAACTATACTTTTCCCCCTATGCATCATGGTATAAAATTATATTTTATGATATACAATGGGGGGGGGCTCATTTTTAAAATTTCCCCCCTCTTCACACATTGTCATTGTCACAAACAGCCAGATTCTCCCTAAAATGACGTTACACCTCTACCCAGAGCCGGCGTTAGGAATACGCGGGGCCTAGGGCCAACCATCTGCGCGGGGCCTGCTTTTTTCCATTTTATATATATATATATATATATATATATATATATATATATATATATATATATATATATATATATATATATATATGTGTGTGTGTGCGTGTGTGTGTGTATAGCCCTATATAATATGCATAAACACATAATAACACATAAATGTTTTGGAGTCTATAAGACTTTAATAACAGATGTTTAGGCCTACCTCTCCCACGTTTTAACCCTATGTTTGTAGTTGTTTTTTTTCCTTGCTAATATATTAAATCACTTTTGACAGTTATGTAATTCATACCAAATCACTAAAGAAAATTCAATCACGTGCCAAATAATTAGTAAAATAAAGTTGTTTAAATTGTTTGTTGTTGACTTATTGTTAATATAAAAGCAGGGGCGTAGAGGGGCGGGGGAGGGGGGTGCGGGGTGACACCAAGGCAAAAAATAGCAAAACATATACTGAAATATGATAGTTCCGCTTTAAAAAGTGGCTAAGTAGAGTGTTAAAAAGTCTTTTAAGAGCAAATTTGATAAATCCCGACAAGGGTGGAGAGGGGGGCGGGGGTGACACTATGACGCAAACCTGCTAATGATAGAGAAAACACGCTACATCAACACTTTTAACTTTCTTCCAAAAAAGTAATAATAAATCACTCTGTCTAATGCCCCTTGATATAGATCCTAAGGGCCTCCCCCCCCCCCCCCCCCCTCGTCGCCCTGTTCCCACTCCTCTGCACGCAACTGAATGTTAATTATGTTATACCAAGGCAAGTAGGCCTACATATTCGACATCTACAACAAGAAAGTCAGGACTAGCGTTCATCAGGTCACTAACTGTCTACTACAGGCATCCCTCTGCTCACTAAAAGGACGTCTTCATCGGGCCGCATACAATAGAGTATCTTTTTCCCAAATTTACATCCCATGTCAGGTCGGGGGCTGATTCGCGTCCAACTATCTCCAGTCAGCTCAGGTCAAATGCGAGGCGACCGTACCCTACACCAGTGTTTCTTCCAGACTTTTTTCTCCGGGGGGGGGGGGGGCACTTGAAATCTTCGGGGGGGGGGGGCGGTAAACTTTCTTCGGGGGGGGGGGGGCGGACACTGTTAAAAGTATATATTTTCTATATAAATTATATAAATTTCATTTCGTTCGGGGGGGGGGGGGCGGTAAAAAATTTTCGGGGGGGGGGGGGGGGGGGGGCGAAGCCCCCACGAAGAGATGCCTGGAAGAAACTCTGCCCTACACAAAGGGGAGGTCTGACACTGTTTTTGTATCGAATTACGGCCTGTCCCAGTTCAGGTGGGTGATAACTCACTAACATCAACCGTGGCCTCAGTTATAACAATCAACAACTTCGGCATTCGACCATTTAGTTTTTCCCAATTGAATTCAGCAACAATTTTTTTACAAAATTTAGTTTACAAACTAATTTAGATAACAATGACAGTGCTGAAGCGCGGGGCCCCTTCAAGCGCGGGGCCTGGGGCGACCGCCCCGTTTGCCACCCCCTAACGCCGGCTCTGCCTCTACCCACTACCAGATTAATTTTTTTTTAACATCGATTTTTTTCCCTTAAATACTGAGTTCGGTCAACATTGAGTATTTTAATCATTTTCTATTGCAATATATTGAAACAATTTTCTAAAATGCGATAACGGGGCTAAAATTCACTATCTTTCAAAACCTTTTGAAAATACTTGTCATACTAACTGACCCTCCCCTCCCCCATTATCTCATCGTCACAAAATTACGGATCTCCCACCTAGTGTGACGTCATGAAAGACGACCCCTAACTAAACACCAATAAGATTGGTGTATTAAATGTGTATCACAAATTTAGTTTTCCGTCTTTGCCACCCTTAAATAATTATTCTGTAAGTCTAAATTCCACACTGTTATCTTGAAGGAGCACAAGTGTTCCTAAAACTGATGATGTGTTTGAATGTCAGACATCCTATGAAGTATTATTGTTGATTTGAGGAATTAATTACATTATATTTTTATAAGAAACATACAGGTGATGTGACAAAGGCCAAAGCTCTCCATGAGCTGTAGAATCATAGGGATGGATGTTTTTAATAAGCCTTTGTAAAGTCAAGTTGTTATTTTTTATCAGCACACTCCAACCAAAGGGGTCTGTGTGTTGGTTGTCCAATATGTTGCCTGCTTTGAGAGTGTTGGGTTTCAGAGATCCTCACTCTGCTTGGTGAAGGCCCATTATTTACAGTTTAATTTTTTCTATTCATGTATAATTTTTACCTCTGTGTGTCTTCTATGAGTAATTCTTTATTAAGTTGTTGCATGGTCTGTTGTAGTAACATTTCACTTATTTGTAACCATTAAATTTGTTTTAATAACATGAGTTGGTTTGAAGTGAGCTAAACAGTTCATTTTTCTCTTTAAGACTGTAATTTCTGAAGACTCAGATGGTGCCCAGGCTGTTCATGAACCAACAGTTTTACTTGTCAAGGATACCAAAGGTAATTAGTTCATTTGTTACTTTACTTTCTAGTTACATTTTTTTTTAAATCCATCTTTTCTTTGAGCACTTTTGTTTTAGTTGCAAATAGATCTACATGTTTTTTTTTTGCTAAAATTAAAATGTAACTTTGGTGTTCATACAATTTTTAAAAATAAACAACTAATCATACAAGGTTAACATTCCATATTTTTGCTAAGCCAATTTGAACAATAAATATCACTTTCGATAAATAGTTAAATGTTAATTAGTAATAAAACAGATAGTGTTAGTTAAATGTAACAGATTTTCAATGTACATAATTTCAGATTAAACTTTTTGTGCAATTAAAAAATACAATTGTTACTTAGTTTTTGTCAAATATTTCTAAAAAAAATTTTTTTATGTGAATAGTAAAGCTGATTAATATCTAAGCTGAGTTTTATTGCATGCTGAGTAAGCTATAAGCATAATTTATTTTTCCTGCAGCAAGTATTAAGGTCCCTATACAAGAACCAGAAGTCAGTGCCCCAGTTGCACAACTTTACAAAGATGATCCCCCTTTAGTGAGCCAGTCAACAAAGTCAACAGCTTCTGCTCAAGTGCCAGCAGGTAGCACACAAGCAGGAAAATTACAGTTTAAGCTTGCCTCTGACCCTGGGTCAGGAAAGACTAAAGTACTGTTTCAACTGAAAAAAACCTTAAAACCTAATGCGCTTAAGTCTGGCTCAGATGATGAAGACAAAGAAGAAGTGGTTGAGGAAGAAGCCAAACAAATCATTGAGAAAACAGCAGCAGGTGAATTTGTCCCTACCAGGTTTAAGGTGTCTAAAAAACATGAAATGTTTCGTCCCAGCACAGTTGAAGCACTTGCCAAACCTGTCTTTGATCCAGCATTGGCTCTGGCGTCAGTCATGTCAGCGGCAAGTCAGATCTCAGCTGCTGTTTCAGCTTTAGAGGCAGCTGAGCTGAAGGAGAGAGAGGGGTCTGATGATGAGAAAGGTGATGATGACAGGAGAAAGGATAGTGATAAAGGTCTGAGGAGAAGTGATAGACGGAGAAGTAGAAAAGATAGCAGAGAAAGTGAGAGAGATGATAGCAGTTCCAGGTATTCTAGATACAAGAGCCGACATGATGAACGAGACTCTGACAGGAATACTCGCTCTACATCTTCCAGGCGTCAGAGAGATGATGACAGGCGCAAGTATGAGGAGCAGAAACGCAGGGATGAGAGCAGTGATAGAAGGAGATCTTCTAGAATAAGGCAAGACCAAGAGGACAAGAAGAATAAAGCTGGTGATAGTAAGGAATCTGTTGGCAGGAGAAAGTCAAAAGTTGAGGAAAACCCTTCCTCTGATGCTACAAAGAACACACAAAGGAGAAGGAGCCACAGTACAGAAGAAAAAAGTCAGCCTTCTCCAAAAAGTTTGTCAAAATCTGAAGATGTCGCATCTAATGAAGAAATCAATGCTGAGGAGGCTGTCACTTCTGAAGACAGTAGTGCAAAAGAAGATAAAATTGATAATCAGAAGATAATGGATGAAAAAATACTCAAACCAGCTGAGGAGATAGCATCAGATGAGAACATTCTAGAACCAGTGGCTGTTGAGGGGAGTCATTCACCTGATGCTACAGGGCCTGAAGCATCAAGTGCTGAACCTAGTAGTGTAGAGGTCAGTCAGCCCCAGGTGGAAGTGCAGCATGATTCCACACAGCTGAAAACAGAGACCAGCGAGTCTGATGAGAAAAAACATATTCAGAAGATTGTCATTCGCAGATCAACAGAAACCAATGACTTTGAAATTACCAGAAATGATTTGGCCAGGAAATCATCTGATGAAGGAAATGCAGAATCCACTGCTGATGAATCCAAACAGCCAGTTGCTGAGAAACTAAAGCAGTCAACTAATGCTTCATCTGAGTCAGATCACGAGAAGGAGACCAAAGTTGATTCTGCAACACCTGTTAAGAGAAAACGAGGTAGACCTAGGAAAATTAGCAACCAACCAGTTGGTAGGAGAAAAAAATCTGACTCAGAGAGTAGCCACAAAGAGGATGTACCCCAGAAACCCCCTTCTCCTGTGCCAGCCAAAGTTGCCTCTCCCAAAGCTAAATTTCCTGTGTATGTACCAGAGCCAGCATTACCACCAGAGCAGGTTCTGGTGGATGTGTCTGCTATTCCAGGAAAAAGTAAATGGGAAATGGATGAAGAGGATGAAATGGAGGAGACAGTTAAACGCACCAGTTCTAGATTTGGCGGCTATGCTGCAGATGTTGCGCCAGTTAAAACCTACGAGCCCCCTGAGTCAACCTGGAGAAGATCTTCCCGGCACCAGGCAAAGAAAGTTGATAAACCAATGCCAATATCCAAGATGAGGGAAAGCAGCAGTACAGGCAATGAAGATGATCATTCACTAGATCATGGTAAGCACAAGAAGAAACACAATCATAAAAGCAGGGAGAAGAAAGGAAAGAAAAAGAAGAAACATGACGACAAGGAAGGTCATCGTGAAGAGAAGGAAGAAGAAGAGAAGCCCTCTAGTGGTGGACTAAACTCATCCAGTGAGAAAGTTGGGTCTGAGCAGAAGAAGAAAGAAGAAAGTATTAAGACCAAAGTAGATCTAGACACTGCTAAACTGGTGACTTATTTAAAGGAATATAGTGGGAAAGAGGAGTCCAAGGGGAAAGAAGATGTAACAAAAGTAAAAGTTGAGCATGACAACTCTAAAATTGTCAGCTATCTCAAGGAGTATAGTGGTAAAATGACGGAGGAGACGGTAGTGGACCAGCTTGAAGATGTGAAGCAGGAAAATGTTTCCTTAAACACTGAGGAAAGTGTCAACACTGAAAAAGCAAGGGAGGGGAGATCATCCCCAGTGGATGGTAGGCAGAGTGCAACACTAAAATCAGAATCTAAAGAAAGTAGCAGAGAAAATAGTATAGATAAAGCATCTATGAGCAAGGCAAAAGGAAGATCAAATAGCCCTGAGAAAGGCAGAGATAGGCGGGATAGGTCTAAGTCATCTGAAGATAACAAAGAAAAAACTGATGCTTCTAAAACATCTGAGAGGAATAGAGAAAGAAGGGATAGGTCTAAGTCATCTGAAAGGAGTAGGGAAAAGAGGGATAGGTCAAATTCAGCGGATAGGAAAAGAGAAAAAACTGATGGTACTAAACTATCTGACAGGAATAGAGAAAGAAGGGATAGGTCTAAATCTTCGGAGAGAACCAGAGAAAAAAGGGATAGGTCTAAATCTTCTGAGAGAACCAGAGAAAAAAGGGATAGGTCTAAATCTTTGGAGAGAACCAGAGAAAAAAGGGATAGGTCTAAGTCAGTAGAAAGAGATCGAAGAAGAAGTCAACGATCGCCTGATCGAAGATTTGGCAGGTCTCCATATTGGAGATCCAGGAATAGGAGAAATAGGTCCAAGTCTACATCCCCAGACAGGAGAAACAGGTCAAAATCCACATCCCCTCATAGAAATGACAGGAGAAACAGGTCAAAATCCACATCCCCTCATAGAAATGACAGGAGAAACAGGTCACGATCCAAATCCCCAGACAAAGGGTACTCCTACAGAAGGTACCAAGGCTCAAGTAGAGATTATGGGCGTAGTGGAAGAAAGGCTTGGGATAGAAGGCGGCGATCTAGGTCTGGTTCATCTGGGAGCAGTAATGAACGTAAAAGACGTAAGGGTAGTGAAGAAAAGTCCCGCAAGGACAAGAGTCCAGAAATGAAAGAAGAAACCATAGCAGTCAAGCCATCAGAGGGTAGCCAAAACTCAGAGGCCAGTGCTAGCAAGGAACCAGAGCTCATCTATCCAGAGATTGACTTCTCAGCCATTGACCTTGCTTCTATACCAATACCTGGGGAAATCCCATTGCCCATTAAAAAAGAAGCAGACAAAGAGTCAGTTATTAAAGAAGCAGAAGTTAAGCCTATTGTCTTAGAAGACTTAATTGTTGATGAGCCAATGGAGATTTCTGATGACGATGATGCATCAAATGGTATAGAGATTGTTAAAGATAAAGTATTTGATGATGTGCAGAACAAATCCACCACTGATTTACTGAGTACTTCAACTCTTTCCATTGTGGAGAGTGCATCCACACCTGATTCTGGTAAAGACAAGCAAGTCAAATTTTCTATTTTGGGTTCAGCTAAAAAGTTGAAGCAAACAGTTATATCTGGGGTGCTTGATGATGGTGTAGAACACCGTACACATAGGATGAGCTTGAGTATCTTGACTGAGAAGAAAACAGTGGTTGAAAATGTACCAGATGTACCAAAAGCTGAGGCGTCAGGAAATGTAGAGGTACCCAAAGAGGAAGTTGTGCCTACAGAAGTTAAAGAAACTGAGCCAGCTCAGGAAGCTGTTCAAGTGACTGAAGGCTTGAAACCCAGTGTAGTTGAGAGTGGTGATGATGAGCTTAGCAAGCCTAAAGCTAAGGAAGTGGAGCTGAAGCCTAATGTACCACCTGGGAAGTTGAAGTTCAAGTATGTTCCTTTATGGGAAATGGAAGAGAGTGAAAAAAGGCCGGTCATAGAAGAGTTACCTAAGAAGGAAGAGAAGAATCTTAGTTTAGCTTTAGACTATGGAAGTGAAAGTTCTGACATAGAAGATGAGGAGAGATCCCCAATGAAAAAGAAAGTACCAGATAGGAGTGAAGATGTCAGTACAGCTCAAGTTGTAGAGGAGGGTGTCAGCAGTACTGAGGTGACACAGGTAGAAACTACTTCAGGGACTTTAGACGTCAGTGAGAAAGGAAAGGTCAAGGAAGAAGAACAGTCAATGCCTGTTGTAAAAAACGTTGAGCTGGTTGAAGATAAAGCTGAACCAGAAGAATCATCACCAGTGCAGTCACCACCACAAGAGACAGCATCAGAAGAGACAACACCAGTAGAATCATCCATGCAATCACCACCTGAAGAGGCATTACCAATAAAATCACCACCAGCGCAATCACCACCAGAAGAGACACCACCAGAAGAATCGTCACCAGCACAACACAACCAAAGTGATGAAGCCTACTCTCCATCCCATCCCTCTCTAGAAGATTCTGATGACATTGTGCCACTTCCTAGTCCCAAAACTAAGCCCAGTGTTGTGGAGAAAACTAGTTCCATACAACCCTCAGGCCCTGCCATATTGAGCTCTTTACCTGTTCCTTCAATAACAAGTTTCTCTCAAACTTGTGTACCACCTGCCACAGTAATGGTTACAGCCCCATTCACATCAGCCATTCCACCAGTCATCTCTTCCCTTATTGGTACCAAACCAACTGTAGATTTGCCCTATGTTGCATATCCTCATATCCCACAACCTGGTATGATTGGATCTACACAAAGTGCATTACTTAACATACAGCCTGTCCCTCCACCATCAGTACCACTGCCAAGTCTTCAGTCATCTATTGGAACACCAATCATTGCTCCAGTCCCTCCACCATCAATATCACTGCCAAGTCTACAGGTGTCACATTGTGCACCAGTCATTGCCCCAGTGCCACCTCCATCAATATCACTGCCAAGCCTGCAAGTGGCACCAATCATCGCCCCAGTCCCACCACCTTCTGTCCTGGGCACCCCAGCAGTCATACAACCAGCGCTGACAGCAGAAGCCTTCAAGCCTGTAACGTACCCAACTGTGCCGTTGCCCCTAACAACACCCAAACCTGTCCCTCCACCAGCAGGGCAGTTAACATGGGCCAGTTCAATCAGCTCTGTTTTAACACAGCCACTTCCTACAACAACCTCCCAGAGTCTATTGGGGTTTCAGGCGCTTCCAGCCTTGAGAGGCCTAGCTCCTGTGACAGTAGCTCCAGTACCTCCCCCAGGGATTGCCCCACTGCATACCATACCACTACCAGCAGTCACCCAGCCCATGCCTGTTCCACCTGTTACCCAGGCACCAGATGCAGAAAACAGCCCTGTCCCTGTACAGCCAGTCAAATACAGAATCAGTGGATTCGACCAGGGTCCTATAGCAGCTCTTCCACCTCCAGCTGTCTCCATACCAACTCTACTATCTGTGTCGCAGCCTTCCTCCACTGATGCTAATGTTGTTCATTCAACCCAAGGATCTCACCCCTTGTCGTCATCAGTTACTGAGGGTAAAGCTCCATCCACACCAGTTGTATTGAAATCTTCTCCAGCACTTCCACCCAGAGTTTCATCTGGTGTTTCTAAACGCCCTAAAATATCATCCATCTTATCACAGCCAAAAATAGAAGACCCTGAACTTCTAGAAAAACTAAGTAAACACGAAGTTGTAAAATGTCCACTGCCATCCACATGTGAAACTGCTGATCAAAGTTCTACAGCACAGTCAGCTAAAGAAGATACTAAAACCAATGCAGTGGCAACAGATAAACCAGACATGAAACCAGCAGACACAGAAGCTGTTAGCAGCCAGCCTGAAGGCTCTGCTCAAGCTTCTCCATCAGTTGAAACCTCCACTGTAGTAGCCCAGGACATAGACTTTGATATGACCAGTATTCCACTGCCTGAAAGTATACCTCTGCCAGGTAGTCCTATGCCACAAGAGCCAGCCAAGAAGGAACCTGAGTCAGGTTCTCCCCACAAGTCATCTGAACCTTCTGTTTATCCAGATTCAAGCTCAGCCATTTCACCCAAGAGTCAAACGCTAGGTTCATTGTTGGCTGATAGGAAGAAAAGGTTTTCACAGTCCCCATTGGCTATTGGAATGTTACCCAAAGTACCCCTCACTCAGTCTCCACTTGCTATTGGTCCATTACCAAAATTACCTCCAGAGCCGGAGAGTTTAAACACAGATGTAAGCACAAGTGGGAAGAAGAGTTCATTGGGGTCTGATGTCAAATCTAAACCTTTAATATCCCTTGGTGTAAAATCAAAGACACCTCAGTTGGATAAAGAAGAGCCAAAGTCAACAGCATCTAGCTCATCAAGGATACACATTGTTCTTAAAAGTAAATCAGCTCTGCAGAAAACTTCAGTTCCAGGCTTTGAAGATGAAGGTAGTGATAATGAGAATGCTTCTGAAGAACAACATACTGAGCCAGCTTCTGATGTGGACAGTAGCATTCTATCTACATGTGGTGAAGAGAAGGCTGAGCATCAAACATCTGCCATCAGTAGCAGTGAGCAAGGAAATGAGCAGGAAGAAGCACCTGTACAAAGTCGACCAAAGATCGTAAATTTGACAGATATTGAGGCATTCCCTGTGCAGGTGATAACAAGCACTAGGAAAGAAGAAGATACTCCTGCATCTTCTTGGCCGGAGTTTACTGTTGCTAAACGTGGGAGGGAGGACGAAGATGGGAAGAAGAAACAAAGTGACTTAGATGGGAAAGAAAGAAGCAAGAAACGAGACAGGAGAGGAAGTGAAGAGGATGAAAAGAGAACTGACAGGAAAAGAAGAGCAAACAATGACAGTGATGATGAGACTGACAGAAGAGATCATAGGAGAAGAAGGGATGATGGCAACAGAAAAAGAGATGATGATTATGATGAAGACATTAGGAGAAAAGTTAAAAAGGAACTAGATGATGATGGTTATGAAGATCGCCGTGGAAGCAGAAAAGATGAGAAAGGTGATGACAGAGGGGGTAAAAGCAGACAAGATAAAGATGATGATAGTTATGGAAGAAGACGAAGCAGAGATGACAGCTATAGTAAAAGGCGAGGGAAGGATGATGATGATGAGTATAGAAGGAGGAGTCGCTATGATAAGGATGATTACAGGAAGAAGCAAAAGTATGACAGTGGTAGGTACAGTGACAGCAGAAGTGGCAGGTATTCTGAGCGAGATAGAAGTAGAGAAAGGAGCAGAGACAGAGACCGTAGCCCTGAACATGATAGAGGGGACAAAAGTCGCAGTAAGTCAAGGACTTACAAAAGAAGCAGAAAAAGTAGAAGCAGAAGTCAGAGCCCGGTTAGAAAAAGAGAAAGAAGTAGGGAAAGATATGACAAGACTCGTGACAGTAGAAGCCGGAGTAATAGTAGAGACAGAGATAGAAAGTCTCGGGATGAGAGAGGCTCTAGAAAGAAAGATTCAAGATCATTTAAAGAGGATCTTTTAGAAGAATTTACAAAGTCATCTAATTCTACTGATGTCCAAGATGAACTGTTTAAAGTTGCTGCTATAGGATCATCTTATGTGTCTGAATACCCACCTGACCAAGGGCACATGTATGCGACAGAACAAGAATACTCCAGTATGCCAGAACCAACCATGTATTCAGTTCCTCCCCCTGTTGTGGATGTTCCTCCAGCATATCCTGATCCAAATTATGCCAGCCAGTATCAAACACCTTATGAACAGCAGCAGTATGGTCCATGGCAAAGTCAGCCTAGTCATGATTCATACAGTCAGGATGCTACAGGTCAGTACCAGCCATCAGACCATCAGGCACCACCGCCTAATCAGTATCCATTCCACCAGCAGCAACATACACACTATCCTCCTCCGCAGTCATATCAGGCAAGCCCATATCTTTCACAACCTGGTGTACCGCCACAATCATTACCACCGCCTCATCTGCAACATGCAAGCGGTGGACCTCCACCTCACATTCCATTAGACCAGCATGGACAGCCCATTCCAGGACACTACCCACCTGCTCAGCTGCCAGTCATCCCTACCTACAACCAGGCTGGACCACAAACTCATTTACAACCTCAATTCACCCAAGAAAATTGTCCACCACCACATTTTGTTTCTTCAGACTCGCAGTTTAAAATGCATTCTGGAACCATTCGAGGGTCACTACTTCCCCTTCCTTCTCGAGGTCCACTTTTACAAACACCGATGGTTCCACGAATAGTCATGGATAATTCTTCCAGTTTTGGCACTCCCAGATTCCCACCACCTGATGTTAGGTCCTCACCTAATATGTCAAAACCACCTTCAAAAGTTCCCAGAAAACCCAGAGTCCCTGTTTTTGATGACAGTTTAAATAGTGAAACTTTTGCTCTCAAAGCTGTTGTGCCCACTTCCGACCTTACGATGACAGGTTCATTCACAACCACCAGTGCCAGAGGGGAAATGAGAAAATCTTCAACTGAACTATCATATGAAAAATCATTAAACCCTGAACCATCCTTTGAGACCTCATCCCTGGCTGAAGCTGAATTTGATACATCTGTTAAACAGGAAAGTAAAGGAAAATCTAGAAAGAAGAGCAATCTAGAAGATGTTAATGAACCTACAGTGTCTTCTTCTGGTGTGGAGGATACAACTGGAGATACAGGCAGTGATTCAGGCACAGATTCATCACAGAAGCCTTTGAAGGTAAGTCACTGAGGTTATCTCTTGTAAATTACTACAAAATTTGTTAGTGTATTTTGAAGTTATTTATTTGAATGAATGTTAGTTTCTTACTTGTAATATATTCTTTAAATTTTTATATAAATAACTATATTTTAGCATTTGAAGTAATCAATAAAAAGGTGTGAAATTTTGGGAATTCCCTAAAAACACAATTCTGGTTTTGCAACAAGTGCATAACCTATAATAAACATTATTTCTATATACACATCTATTTCCTCCCTACATTTAGCTTAGTAAAATGTTTTATTCTCTTGAACTTGAAAGTGATTTATATCTGTATTCTCTATTTCTGAGAAGCCAAGAAGGTGCTCGAAGAATTCTTCCTTCAGTTTGTTGAACTGAAATTACATAATAATTTAAAGCTTATAAATAACCTATGTAAAGTATTCTGTGTAAAATTTAACCAAACCAGTGTTTGACAGTTTATAAAATATTCCATTTCAAGGATTAAATGATTTAAGGTAAGAATGTTGTAATTCATGACATGGCTTAACTAAAGTCTGTTTACCACTTACTAGTTTACACGAGTTATACATTTAAAAAAAAACCTTCACCTCATTGCCCAAAATCTTTCACATAAACTTGACTGCATTGTGATTTTTTATTAAAATATATTTTGTACTAATTTTTGTATGAATATTTAAAATAACAGTAACGAATCGAATCGCACTTCTCTTGCCTATTTATAATTTATAAGAAAAACATGTTTTAGGTTAAATCTAGATGGCGCCGTAACAGTGAAGCTGAAGCAGTAGTTGATACGTCTACGCCTCCTCAAGCATCCACCCCACCCCCATCAACCAGAGGCCCTACTAGCCCAGATGCCTCACCCAAAGAAATGAGGAGAACCAGATCTAGAGCAGCAGCTGAGGAGTCTGGATCTAATCTGGAGACACCTCCCCCACCCCCACCACCTAGGAAAAGAATTAAAATGGAAATGGAATCAGAGGAGCTAAAATTAAATGTAAGTATCATTATTCCTAATTTTAATAATAATATGATAATTTATAGTGTTGTTAAATTTTACTCCATGATTCTAATTTTTTAAAATTTAAAAAAATGGCCACAAAATAAGATGTTACAGCATAACACCCAAGATTCTAGTAAAGGCAAAATCTCAGTGTTTTTTCTGTCAGTATTGCTCTCAGGGTATAAGTACCAAAACATAAGTGAAAAAAGCTTTGATACACCCTATGGCTTTCTTATTATTACCCCAGTTTATTTATAGTGTGTGTGCTATTACAAAAAATGTATTTCCTCTGGCTGAACAATAAAGAAAACAAATCTTTATTGTCTTCAGAATTTGGTCCAAGGATATTTAATCAAAATCCTTAGGTCCTGAAACTTTCATTTCACAACGTAACTCAGGTCTCTTACTAAATTAACAAGCGGCCAGCCTTTTTTAAAATCATCAATTAGCATGTTGGCTTATGATTATGTTTACAAAGGCAAACCAAAGATTGTAAATGTTTTGGTGTTGTAATCTGTATGGCTGTATTTTACTACAGACTGAGCAAGACATGAAGACTGAATGCATTAAGGAGGAGACTGAAGAGCCACAAGACTTGGCAACTCTTATTAAGAGGCCAGATTTTCCTAAATTTGAAATTATTACAGAAAATATTCATTTAACTGAAAGGTTTGATGTACTTTCTTTTTTACTCATTTACTTTTTTCTTTTCTATTGATTGATTAAAGAAATAAATGTTACCCTTGAACTGTAAACAAACAACTTGTCTTACATTATCTTAGACTTAGTTTTTATAACCTTTTTTAACAACCCAGCCATTGTATTTTAATAAAATTCTGCATGTGTAGGAAAAGATCCAAGAGCATGAAGCGAATGTTGTGTGACTGTACTACATCTAGGGAGGACAGGGCCATGGGACTTGAAGCTTGCGGTTCTGACTGTTTGAACAGGATGCTAATGATAGAATGGTAACACATTTGCTTTTTTTCATACTCTTTCTTGATTTTATTCTAGCTCTACAATTTTAAGATAATCTAAACTCTTGAATATGAATAAGTTCAAAAGCCAGAAATGTATAGCTGAATAGACTTAATATTTCTAGAGAGGTTCTTGTCAAAATTGTAAACATGTAGTGCTTTGAAACTGTATTTGTAACCTTAAATCTTTGCAGTGGTTCAAGGTGTCCTTGTGGGGAGTACTGTAAGAATCGGCGCTTCCAAAAGAAAATTTACTCCAAAACTCTGCCATTCTCTGCTGGAGACAAAGGCTGGGGATTGCGTGCTGAAGAAGACATGGAGGAAAAGTTAGTTCAATTATCACGTTTAAACATTTTTTATGCATAATTGATTGACACCATTTACTTTATTGTAAACAATGGTGTAGGCAGTTGTGGGGGGGGGGGGGGTAACCTAGAACTTCACCATGGACCCTCAAATATAAATATATTATATATTTATAGGCCTACATATTTATACATTTATGTATGTAGTTATATTATCAAGCTCTGTATGCTCTTCTTACATAATTTATCTAATGCCTTTTGATTTTAACTTAATTAAACAAGAATGTTCAATTTTGTTAGAGGTACTTTCATTATGGAATATGTTGGTGAACTTCTGGATTATGAAGAGTTTGTGAGACGGACAAAGCAGTACTCAAAGTCTGGGCTGAAGCATCATTACTTTATGGCATTAAATGCAGATGAGGTTGTGGATGCCACACTTAAAGGCAGCATCTCACGTTTCATCAACCATAGCTGTGACCCTAATTGTGAAACGCAAAAGGTAATTTATTCAGTCTTCATAACTGTGTTGCTCCTGTTTTTGTACAATTATTACTTTATTTGTTCAAAAAGCTTCTGTTGTTAATATTTAAACACAAATTTCCCCTGTAGTAGACACAAGTAGCTTTAATAAGGCTTGTATTTATTTCATTTCTAGTGGACTGTCAATGGAGAATTGCGTGTTGGGTTCTTCACCAGGAAGCCAGTGAAGAAAGGAGAAGAATTAACCTTTGATTATCAATTTGAACATTATGGGTAAATAACTTTGAACTATTACAATCTTAATGTATTATATATCTTTAAGACTGTACTTTTATTGTTTGTTCTACAAAATTAGAGGTATAATTTGAATGTTTGTAATTTTAAAAATTCCAATTGTATTAAACTGTATCAATTCCCAGTGAACCACAGAAATGTTATTGTGGGTCTGAGAACTGTAGAGGATATATAGGGCTTGTCAAGTCACCTACAAGGAACAATAAGAAGAAAGAGAGGAAGAAGCGAGAAATCTTTAAAGATGAGTTGGTTAGTAGTTTTGTTTTTTACAAAATTGTTTACCAAGATTTCATTATTCTATTTCACTTATTACACGATTTAAAAAATTAAATTTTATAAATTTTTCTTTAGCTTATCTGTGTTATAGTCATGAATGAAAATTAGTTTAAATTTTGTAATACCATATCCCCAGTAGGGCTTAGATTTTTTCATACTTTTCTTTGATAGTTGGAAGAAGACATAGAAAAACTTTCTATGCTTGAGGGAATGAGAAACAAGAATCATGTGCTGGAGTTGTGTCGACTTATGGTTCGAGCAGAGAAAGTTCAACAAAGGATTGCCATTTTAAAAATACTGCAGGTGAGTACAAGTGATGGAAACTTGTTTGACTCACTAGCTTTAGAGTTGACAGGAAGACACTGTAAACATTTGTCCCTTGTTCACATGAAGATGTAAAGGGTGCTTACATACACTGTTTTGTGACACTTTTAGGGCACCACAGAAACAGCATGCCTCAGACTATTCCTAGACTACCATGGTTTACCTTTATTCTGGAGCTGGATGGCAGATATTGGAACTGCAGATTATTCAGAAGACACTCAGGAATTGAAGCTTCTGGTACACTTTTCTTTGCTTGTTTTTTTTAAATAGAATGTATCTAAATATAATATCTTTATATTTTACTTTCACTGTTTACTCTCCTCTTTTAATAACAATAATTTACTCATACCTGGGGTTTGAATTTATCTCCAGATGCTTTCTGTTTTAAAAAGTCTACCCATCACTAACAGAACTGTGTTAAAGGAAAGCAAGATTTTAGACATTGTAGAAAGGTGGGCTGTAGCTGCTGTAGCAGCAGCCAGGAAACCACCACCACCCCCACCACCTACATCAACCACTACCACAATCACAACTGCCTCAGTCCTACCCCCTGTGGCCAATGAATCTGTGGAACAAGAGGCTGCAATGGCCAACAATGAAGCTGATGCTGCTGCTACTGCACCAGTAGACCCCAGTCCTGAAGAACCTTCTCTGCCAACAGCTGTAGTGTCTGAGCCGGAACAGTCCACCACTTCATCTTCTGAAACATCCCCACCATCTTCACCGTCCCCCACCCTGCCTCTGCCTGTAAGCAATGTGACCCCAGTGTCCATCTTAGCATCTGCCAAGGAAACTAAAGAAGCCAAACAGAAGCGTCGTGTGACATTTGCTGAAGTGCATGTGGAAACATCTTTTTCACCTGAGCCAGATGAGGACATAGAAGACAATGATGACATATCATCATCCACACAATACACTGAAGATGGTGCTGATGGTAAAAAACTTTGAGTTTTCAAATATTTTTAATATTGCATTTGGTGATCTCCAGGGATTTATAACCAGATTAGCCCAATGTTGTGTTGATCTACAGTGTTGATGTAACATGCTTCTATTGTTGTTTATTGTATTGCTTCAGAGGTTTTAAATTTCTACGATTTTTTCATTATTAAATTTGGTGATTAACCATATTATTTGCCAAAAGTATTGACACAATTAGTTTGTTTTTATTACAGTTTAATAAGAGTAAATTTGAATGACAATTCAATAGATTTATAAAAAAATTTCAAACCTGAAGACTAAATAGACTAAGCACAGACTGTGACTTTTCTAAACAAATCTAAATCATGATGTAATTTGGTTTGAAGCAAGTAAAAAATTGTTACTGATTGTATGTTGTGACTTACTTGCTGTTGTTCATGTTGTTGTTACTTTATCTAACTCACTTCACCAAGTAGTTGTAATACCCAATCTACCACTCAATTACTAATATCAAATAACTTTTAAAATATCAAAATAATCTAATATTTTCAACTTTCTAATATATAATATATCAACATCTTAATAAGTACTTTGAAACTTCAGAAAATCAATCTCAACACATATCTACATTTCAAATAATGCATTGAACACATTACTTCAAAAACCCCATTTCTTTTAATTTACTAATTCAAACACCCACTTAAACTTTACCAAGGTACTTCATATATTCTTCTCCTCACTAACCACTTTTAGTCTTGAGGTTAATAAATCATGCTTGGTACTTCATAGGGATTAGTTTTCTAAAATGTGGTGGCTATCTAATTTGATTAGGTAAAGTTGTGCTACCTGGTGAGGCTACAGCTATAGGAAGTAATGGAGATAATGTTATGGTAACCAGCTGCCTCCTGCCACAGTCTAGTAGTATGGCAGACTCTACTAGTCAGAAGGATGTGTTTGATGCTGGGGACAATGCAGGCATGAGCAGTGATACAGATAACTCTGATACAGAATCTGTCATTAAAGACCCACTAGCCTCCCTTGCAGCTGAATGTATGTCTCAATGGAGCTCGCTTAAGGTAAAACAAACTTTTTAATCTCCAAGAAAGTAGTTTGCATTATATATAAACTAAAAATTTCTGATATTATATTACTTATATTGTCTAACGTTGCTTCATCAGAAATTATAGTACATGAATATATGACGATAATTTAAAGCGTTTTAAATCTAAATTGTTGTCAATTTTCTAGTTTTAATATATTGAATGCTGGAATATTCATTTTGAAGAGGGTAGTTTTAATTTATGAAATGTGAATTTTGTGCAGGAAATTTTCAAAATCCCCAAGAAAGAAAGAGTTGAAGAAAGAAAACGTACAGAAAGAGAATTGGGTATGTTTTTGAGTTATTTCTTTTCATAAAAAATGCCAGCACAAATGAGTTAGAAAGTAATTGTGAAAGCTGAAGTGTAATTTGAACTAACTTTCTTCTATCCAGGAAATGCAATTATCCTTGGTGAGAGGAAACAAACCAGTTGTAATGTTAAGATTAAAATTGTGTTTATTTCATTCTCTTGTAACTGTTAACTTGGATTAAGTTGTATTCTCTTACCATATAATACCTTTAGCTAAGATTTATCTGTAGAATATAATTTATTTTTAGTTTTGCATTTTAATATGCTTACATAATTCTGTTTGGTTTTAGTGTGATTAAATAATTGTGTGATATTTTAGCTTAGACATGTAACAGCTGGGAGTAGAATTACTAAACCTCATAACACTTTACTTCTTCTCTTTTTTTTGTATTTATTTAAAGTACAAAAAAGTTGGCTATTAACCCATCTTAAGGGTGATTAGAAATGTGTATAAAAAGTGAAGGTACTGAGAAATATTAAATTCTAGACAATTCGACAAAATCAGTTCTAAACAATGCAGCTAGCAAAGGCCGTCTATACGACTTAAAATAAAACACAAAAACTAATGACCAACTCTTCCAATACTTCAGATGTGTTGTCTAAAAAACAACCTGAGGCATCTGATCCATATGCTAAATGGAAAAGGGAGCTACCTAGAGGATTTGTTCGTAAAAAGGTTGCAGATGATGAAAAAAGGTAATTTTAATCCAAGTTTTTTTTTACCAATTGTTATTAAAAATTAGGAAAGAAAAAAAAACATTGGAAACTGCTAGATAGTATGGGAGTTAAGTTTAACTTCTTTCTACCATTGTATTTTATGTATCTATGTATCCACCTTTTCTTCCCCCTTCAACAAATTGTTCTGTAGGCTACCCTTTTATCCCCCCCCCCCCCCCAACCAATTGTTCTGTAGTCTACCCTTTTATCCCCCCCCCCCTCTCTCAACCAATTGTTCTGTAGTAAATTCAAGTTCTAAAGATGTCAATATTATACAGTGCCACTCTGACACAGTTTTTAAATCCTGTTTTAGGAAGTCTTTGTTTCCCAAAATGACAAAAGAAGAACGTCGTCAACGATTTGAAGCTCAAGTGAAGGCAGAAGACGAACTTGCTGCCCAGGAGGAATATCAAAGACAACAGGAGGCTTACCTGCTGCAGCAGCAGCAGCTTATGGAAGACCCTTCATATTTTTATAATTACCAGTTACAGCAGTCAGGTGAGTTTGTGGATCCAAGTATGATTCCGCCTGAAACTCTAATAGACCCAGTCACTGGCCAGCCTATTCCACCAGAAGTCCTTATTGATCCACAAACTGGACAGCACTTTATTGACCCTAGTACAGGCCAGCACATTATTGACCCTAACACTGGGCAGCCTTTGCTACAGATTGACCCCAGTACAGGGCACCCAGTCGTCCATCACACTATAGACCCTCAAACAGGACAACCTATAGTGCATCAACAAATTGATCCAAATACAGGTCAACCCATTGGTCATCATCAGATTGACCCACAAACTGGGCAGCCCATAATTCATCAAATTGACCCAAATACAGGTCAACATATTGGTCATCACCAAATTGACCCACAGACTGGGCAGCCAATATTTCATCATCAGTCAGGTCAAGCTATTGACCCACTGACTGGGCAGCCTGTCCACCACATTGATGCTCATACTGGACAACCCTTAATCCCCCAAATAGATCTCTCAACTGGACAAGCCATTCAGCAGCTAGTCTCCCATTCAGTGCAGCAAATAGGCCCTTCAATTGACCCTCTGACAGGCCAGCATATACCCCAGTCACTTCACCACTCCATCAACCTGCATGCTGGACCTGCAGTGGCACAAGATGTTGACCCTCACACTGGACAGCTGATACAGCACAACCCACTTGCCTATCCAGCACCTTCATTAGCACTCAGTCATCAAACCACTTTTGCTAGTCAGGTAAGTTTTGATCAGTACAAAATTACATTTCAAGCCTGCTGCTCCATTCATAACATTGTCTGCTTTCTTATCATGTTAAATAATTTTGACAGACTAATCCTATGTTTGCTACTGGTTCTAGCTGCCTTCTCAACACTTGCAAGCTACAACTTCAAGTACTGGACTGTCAGAGTTAGATATGGAGGAGGAGGTTCCACCACCTCCATCCCCTCCTACTGTTCCTGTCACCAAACTACCCCCTAACTGGAAAACTGCTAAAGATTCTGAAGGAAGAGTTTATTATTATCATGCCTTTACAAGGTATGCCATTTTACTATTCCCATCTGTTCAATGAATGTTTACATTTTTGTTTTTAATTACATTTATAATGAAAAAAATATTTGAACCTTTTAAAAAAAACTGTAACTTTTTATCTTGCAAATTCCAACTCTCATAAATGCCAAAGTTGTATTTTTGTATTGCTTGGTCATTTTGGTATTATTTTATTAAGTAAAATATGAAGTTCAAAAATAGATTTAATTAGACTACCTTTTGGTTTTGGCTGAGCTATGTCTCTTGTCTTAAGGTTGAACTAATTAACAAGCTACTTAAAACTTTCAGACAAACACAGTGGGAGATGCCAAACTGGGACGACAACGATGATGATTCAATTAATGATATGGACTTAGATCCTCTTCCCCCTGAAGAAATTATTAGGGTAAGGAAAACAGTTCCTAACTTTGCCATGTTTTTCTAATTCATTTATTCAGTTTATATTTGCATAATGAACAGGTTAAACTAACACTGATGTTTTTATTTACAGCAAAGCAAAAAGAAAACCACCACAGCAGCTGCAGATACTTCAAGTGAAGTGGCACGTAAAATTAAAGACAGCTTCCGTATCAAAATGTCTGATCATATTATACTTTACCTCAATCCTTATCGCAAGAAAGATTGTAAGATTGGAAGGATATCATCAACAGAAGACTTCAAACATTTAGCCAGAAAAGTAAAGATAAATTTTTTTTAAAATTAAACAGTTATATAATTAACTTGCAGGTTATACTACTCTCCGTGGCCCTTTACTTTTGTCTTTGGAAATAATATCAGTATGCCCGTTCTTTTACCTTTTTAGTAAACTGTTGATCTTGAAATAGTACAATGTATATTTTTGAACAAATTAAATTGTGAGTTGTATATTTCCTTTCCAGTTGACACATCATGTAATGTCAAAAGAACTGAAACACTGCAGGCATGTAGAAGATTTAGAGGTGAATGAAAATGTCAAAGCTAAAGCTAAGGACTATGTACGCAAGTATATGAGCAAGTTTGGTGCTAATTATAGAAAAAGTTCATCACCTCAGCCAGACTGATGATGGAAGGATTTTAGTACTAGACAATGTTGATTTTTAAATAGAATGTCTGGCTTACATAACCCACACTTGTGTCTGATGTTGATAGTGTGAGACAAAGTTTGACTGGTCTCACAACATTTTACACAAGCCCTCACTTTTGTTATTGTATAACCAAAATTTTGTTATGATACTAAATCATTTTTATGATTTAACTATTTAAAACTGAATTAAAATTAGTGACAGAATAGGGAAAACTGGTTGTTGAATGTTTCACAAACTGAAATAATTTTTTGTCCAATGTTGAACTTCATCCTTCCTTAATTATAATGAGCAATGAAAATTGATCTACTACTATTTCTTATAAAATTTAACTGATTAGAATGTGAAGTCAATGTAAATTATTTTTAATGTTTCTGATAAACTATTTAATCATAAAGTAAACAACTGCGTTCATCCTCAAAACAAATTATTGGCTGACCTAACGAAGCCCTTGGCCATATTCTACCATGGTCTCAGTTAAAAGTTTATGATACAGTTCAGTGCAAGTGTTCTTTGCTAGTTTACTTTTTATCTATGTATTGTATGGAATAAAATGTTACATTTGTTTTGTAATTGATCTGTTAATTTCTTTAAAAATCTTCATTTTTGTGTTTCTTCAATGTTAGGTCAATTCTTTATGTTGAACCCTGTTGTCTAGGGTCAGTGTGCAAAATGTTGTTTTACATCTCAAGTAAGCTGTGTTTTAAGAAGTTTTTTTTACATTCATTATATGTGTATCAGTGTTGTATTTTCTGGGTTACATATATGTGTAACCTGCAATTCATTAAGACCAACTGGTATGTCTAGCTCATTATTGTGTTATCCTATTCTAAAAATTATACATTCAAACGATTATACAATTAATTCCTATTAGTGAAAACAATTAGAGGCAGCTAGTTGTTTTTTCATAAGTAGTAGGAATCCAAAAATAATTTGTATCTTTACTGATTGTTAAATAAATATGAGGACTTGCATTAAAATATTTTATGCCTTATTTAATTATATATAGTATTGCTGGCAAATGATACTTTAAAAATACAGGTCAAAAAAGTAAACAGGGGACCAGTAAATGGGACCAAACATTCAAGTAATGTAGTCAAGCATTATTATACAAACACCTAAAAATGAAATATAAATTTTTTTCTCTGGGTGTCTTATATACAACTTTTAGTCTTGTTCATTTGTCTTTGTTTTCTACACATATCACTCATCACTTTTTCTGTAAAAGAATATTTTTGTTTGTTCCTTCGTGTACATATAGATACTTTCATTACATCAATGTTGAATAACAGTGATCTTTGTTTTTCATTATTTTTAAGATTAGATTTTTTTACTTCAATAATTGTCAAATAAAACTTGAAACTATTTGCTCAGTACCCACAGCAGTAGCTGACATAGGCTAATGTAATCTAAACCACTACTTAGACTTTGTAACAGGTCAGGTTAGATCATTGCTGGGTTATGTTTGGTCACTGAATGAAATCTGGCTGAGAAGACTTTTTTTCTGTTGCTTTATTTTTGTGAGTATTGGAATGGTTTTGCGTGTTTTTAAAAAAAAAATTTGTAAGTAATTGCATGTGTAGTTTTATTTTTAATTGGGAATATTGTATGCATACATTTTTCTTGTTTCTTCCCTGTTGTATATATTTTTAAATACCATCATTAAAGAATTGTAACAATTATTTTTAACCATTATATTGCATTATTTGTATGTATGTTAATGAAAAAATGTGATTTTTAAAAGAAATAAAGAAATTATTTAAAAAAATAAGTTTTTTTTAATGTAACCTTTAAAAATGTAATGCTTGAAATTTTAGTTTGTACAGCCTAGGTTGTTGACATCATTCAAAGACAAGGTGGAAAAGTATCCCTAATTGACTGAGAGTGCTATCCTCATTAAAATAAAAATGTTTTCTTGAGCCCTAAAGAACTTTTATTCTTCATCTCAACTACCAATTTTAGGATAATTCAAATAGGCAGAGTTTAAGGTCAATGATCATAAGTATTCAACTGACCTCTCTTAAGTAATGGTATAGTAAACAGGATATTAAGTTTGTGTTGCTGAGTCTAAAGATGTAGCACTACACTTAAATATATAATTGATTGACATGTTAAATGGCACAGATAATAAAGTTTGAAAGGCACCAGATTAGTAGTGAAAATACCCTTACAGCTTAGTTCTTGCTTATTTTAATGTTTTCAACATTTTCATTAAGACTGTCAAACATTTGCAAGTATTTGTAGTATAATTACAACTGGGGAGCTTCAAATAACCAGTGAAGACATCTTCATGTAAACTATTGACTATAAAAGAGGACTTAATGGTAAAACTGACAAATAACATCACTGAGCACCCAGGTCTGATAGGTACCTAACGCGTGTTGGGGAAAGTAAAGGCGGCTGGGCATAGTACTGACCACAATATCCCTTCCATGTGCCGAGGTCACAGCAACAGGTGAACTCTACTGTTAACCATATCAGGTTAAAAAAGGAAACTTTACTATCTCATAACAACATGCAAGACGGTCATCTTACCAGTATCTAGATATTATCTTTAAATTATAAATAAAAAGGGAAATCAGCATCCAATATTTTAAAAATAAATATTTAATAGTTTAACATAAAATTACATATATAACAGATGACACGTACTCCGATGGCTTATATCACAAGGGACCTAATACTGTTCATGTTTGCAATACTAAAATTAATAATATTATACTTAAGTCTCGTTGACTTGCTGTGCCATTATTTGTAGACGTTTTTCTACTTGTTTCTGGTAGTGTAATAATATTTGGCTAGAGCTGCTATCAATATTGGGCAAATCCTTGATTAAGTCACCAAACCATCTGATAGGATGCTGAAAACAATTTTAATTTTTGAATTAAGTCTGAATTGAACACCAAAATATTCTTGATACATACAAATTTAATTAATTCTCTCTGGAACTCTCATGACCTGAATATGTGGGGGAAAACATGGTAGCTACGGCAAGGGGTAAAATTGTCCAAAAATTTCTTTTGGGGCAGTAAATCTTATTAAATCTAAATGGGTATTAATTGTCTTATTCGAGTTGCTTCAATTACACATCACACTATTTTAATTACCATCTTATAATTCAAGTAAACCCTTTTAACCAAATGGATAAACATCTCCTTATTTAAGTTACCGTTTTAATCAAGTGGTCTTGGATTTGATCTTCTATTCTTTGAGCCTGGACATGAGCTGTCATTAGCGATATAAATTTTTGTTGTTCCATTTCTTCATATACAGACTGGTTATGTTTTCTGAAGAAAGACAAATTGACATGTATACAAGTGCTAGAGTCACTTTGGGCTAATTAATTGTCTATTAGGGTAAGTAATTTAGTAGCTCTGTATAACAATCAAGTTGGTCAAGTTGAGCAATTTGTCAGCTCAATCTATTGGGGAGCTGGCATTTAGCCAGGGGAGAAGAACAGCTGTACTAAATGCCACAAGCAATTGTTGAGATCAGATGCCCTACACATTTCAAAGACCTAATTAACTATTCATTGTCAGTTGTGTTGATTCAGTACTATGTAACAGTTCAATAAGTTAAGTCCAAGTTATCTTGCATTATCTCCCCTATCCTATGTATCTAGGTTTCATATATCATCCAGTGTTATGTTAAGTTGTCTGCAGACCTTCACTCAAGTTGCCCAATATAATATAAAAAAATAATCATATATGGGTATACATACATGTATGATTTTGACTGCTTATTTTCACCATCAAGGTCTTTTATTTTCTAAAAAAATAAAATTTTTAAAATTGCAATATTTTGCAAAAGAAACAATGGATGTAATATTTTGTAAACAGCACACCACAAATAGTATGGAGAAATTTACTGGAGGGTATTTAAGTAAATAAAATGCAGCTAATGTACTTCTATTGATAAGTGATCCTTGAAAATGTGTGACAGTTCTTTAAAGAATTAAAACCACATGTCTTTCTGTAGTTTAGTTCAGTGGGTTAATAGAAAGGAGCAAACACAATTTTTTGTGATAAACCACTTTCATAAAAATAAAATTAGTGAATTAATTAAAATGTGATTATAATTTTGATTAAAAATAATTTGTTTTGGACATATTTTGTCTCGTGATTCCCGTTATTAACTGCACCAACAAACAGAAATAATAAAAAGTCTTCTTTCTTTACTAATAATGTTAATTTTGTCTGGTCACATGGGAGTCAGAGAGTTAATACTATACCTTGTTCATTGTAAGCATCAGGTTCTCAAGCCTAAGTCTTTCTACAATGGCAGAGTTTAGGCCATAGTGCTCCAACACCTGACCTTTGGTATTCTCTAACGCTTTTGCATACAGATTATCTACAGGTTTTGGAGTTTCAGCCACCTCTGGTGTTAAAAAAGGGAAAACCTATAAAAGTGTATTTATATCTTTAATGAAACAATTCGTAATGTAAAAACAAAACTTACTGAGCTTCGGTGTCTTACATCTTTGAATCATTTGTTCACAAAACTTTGATTCCGCAAAATTTGGAGTTCCTGGAATATAAATTTTATTGTTTTGCCTATATATGGTAGCCTACAATTAAACAATTGATACTTAACAAGCAATAAATGATAGAGAAATTGTATTTGTAATACTATAATCTCAAAATAAAAAAAATTACTTGAAACAAATGTATAAAAATGTGACACTTTTGGCAGAAAAATGTTTTGTATTAAAATGAGCAACAAACCAGATAAAGGTGCTCTAAACGATTGGTCCTCCAAGTCAGACTGAGCATCTAATGCCAGACTGCGTGGACTTTGTAAATCTCTCAGCTTTAGACGACGGATTATGTTGTTGAGAAAATTCTGTCTGGCTAGCTCGAGGGTCTCCGAGTTTTCTGTCTCACAGTCAGTTTCCTCACTCTAATGTTTCAATTTAAAAAATGTATTTTATAACATTTCCTGGTTCTAATGTTTCAATGCAACAAAGTTATTCTATAACATTTCCTCACTCAAATGTTTCAATGAAAAAAATTTATTCTATAACATTTCCTCAATCTAATGTTTCAACACAACAAAGTTATTCTTTAACATTTCCTCACTCAAATGTTTCAATGAAAAAAATTTATTCTATAACATTTCCTCAATCTAATGTTTCAACGCAACAAAGTTATTCTATAACATTTCCTCACTCTAATGTTTCAAAGCTATTCTATAACATTTTCTTTGTCTGGCCGAGATATATTTAGCTATGATTTAACGTTGGTACCTTTTTTATAGGTCAGGTTGAAAATACATTCACAAAGTATCAATTTAAATTAACCAATACCATTTATCTAATACAAATTTAAAAGCACTTCTAGTGTACATTAGATAAAAATGAAAATAAACAATTATAATGTGACTTCTAAAACTGATAACTTACATGATGTAAGTCTGGCCTTTTGACTTGCTCACTCTCACCCAGTTCTTCAATGCTAATGGAACATGACTAAAGAATTAATGACAAAATAACGAGACAAGAAAACATTTTTTACACTAAATAAAATTAAGAAATTAAAGCTAATTTTTTTGTGATTGATAAGTGGATTCAAGTTTTATTGCTTTAATAACAACGGAGGGACAGCGTGGATAGAATGCTAACCCAAGTCTTCAGTTTGAATGAGGGTTCTAATCAGTGGAAGTATCTGAGTCAACCCAGCTCTGATGGGTATTAACTATCTTAGGGAAACAAAGGCGGCTGGGCATAATGTTGACCCACTATCCCTTCACATGCCGTGGTCTCTGAAGCAGATGAGCTCTACTTCATCTGCCCCATGTGTTTGGTCATGAATGAGAAATGATGATGATGAATAACAAGGAATGGTTTGGTGTGGAGTTGATGTGTGTGATAAAATGCTTTGACTGACAAATGCAGCATTTGATTTAGAAAATACATCTAATCCATCAAATATTCTACCTACTCTTTCACTATTTCTGTTATATCTCTCCATTCTCTTGATGTTGAACTTTCTGAGCTTAAACTTGGAGAAAAAACGCTGGAGGAAGCATAGCTTTCAGTGTATGAGTAGTCACTCTCTGTTTTTGTTTCATCTTCTGATTCCAACAAGATGAACGTGTTGGAATTATAGCTGGTCTCAGTTTGAATGGTGCTAACAACATCTGCTGTTGTGTTTTCTGTTGCATCTAACAACAAAAAGATGATATTTAAATAAATACAATCCACTTTTTAATATTCCATCCTTTTTTGTACAACATAAAAAGTGATACTTTTGATTACATGGATACACTCCTACTAATCTTTTATTTAGTTACAATAATGACATAGGAACAAAAGAGATTGATGATTTTATTTTTATTCATAGATAATTTTTTGAGACCAACAGCTTTAATTCATAAACTAAATTTTAAATTTGCTATTTTTAAAAACTTGAATTTTAACTCTTACCAGCTAATGTTTTTTTACTCAGTGATTCAGATATGAATGTATCACCACTATACACATTTTCAGACTGTGCCAGTGTCACACCATCTGAGCTGTTGCTGTTCCAGTTTTCATTTTCTGATTGTGATGACGCAAGATTACGTCAGACATGTTTAGCAGATATAGGTTAGCAGAAACAGACTATAGACCATAGTTGGTTGGTCAGATAGAGGCCAATGGGCGCACAGGGCTGACCGGTCACATGGGACGGTCAGCTGACCACTGAGGCGTGGGTCAGTAGAGCGATGGGCCAGAAGGGTTAGGTAGCGGTCAGAGACGGTCGAGAATGTAAATAGTTAGGAGATCATGATTAGCTAGCGAAGGTAGAAGGTGTACGTTGTAGAATGTAGAGAACAGTTAGTGTTAGGATTGGTCATGGGAGTTAGTAGTATAGTGAACAGTCAGTAGTAGAAGTAAATAGTACAGTGTAGATCAGTTAGGTAGAAACTTGAACATATATATCATTTTAATAAAGAACAATTATAGTTGAACTTGAACTGTGTGTTGTTGGATTCATTCGTTACGGCCTTCTTAAAAATCCCCACCCTCACAACTGGTGGAGCAGCGGGGTAGGCAGTGGTCCTATGATATCTATCGCTATTTTTTCGAATGGTCTGTTAGCTAAATCAGTGGTTTGTAATGGGGCTTGGGGTGGTCTAGTGGTATCTCTATTCCTGCATGTCTGACATGACTTCACGTACTGTGAGATGTCTTTGTCCATGCCCGGCCAGTAGAAGGTAGTTTCAATTCTTTGTTTTGTTTTCTTTCTTCCCATGTGTCCTGCAAGTGTAAGGTCGTGTGCATGGTGTAGAATTTGTGCTCTGTATTTCTGTGGGATTACTAATTGGTTTATTTCTTGTCCTTTGCTTTTATATTTTCTTTGAAGCGTGTTATTCTTAATAAAGAAAGAGTGTTCTGATGACCTCGATGTAGTAATTGAGTGTTTACGGGCGAGTCTAAATATCTTTTCTAGTGACGGGTCTTCTTGTTGTGCTAGCTGAAATTTTTCTGGTTCCCAAATGTTTTTGGCCTCAGTATTATCCATGGCATTGTTCTGTTGGCCTTCTGCTTGATGACTACTTAGGTCGACGGGTGGTTCATGACTTTTGTTGCTTTCTCTTGCTTTTCTTGCTTGTTCTCTTGTTTCGACCACCTGAATTATTTCCCTTTGTACCCAATCGTCGATTTCCACTCGGGAAATAGTTTCGTTGTTCACTATGTTTCCGATGATCAGATCATATGATCCATTGTCAGTGACCACAGCAATTACACGACCAGTTAGATATGGGGTTTGAATATTGATCAATGCCGTTTTGTATTCTGCGATTATACCGCCAAATAATTCCACATTTACATATCGGCCTGTATATTGGCATGTTTTAACGAATTTGGCTTTTACTGCCATTGTCGAACAACCTGTGTCTCGAATTGCGTTTACTATCTGTCCGTTTACTTTAGACTTAAATGTTGGTAACGAGCTTGATGTGTTTAGTAGGTGGATTCTTTCAACTGGTTGGTTATGGTTTTGTGAAGGGTTGTTTCTCTGTGGTCTCTGGTAAGGTTCGTTCCTTGAAGATGAGCGTTGTTGGCTTAGTTGTTCTAAGTAGTTCACTCGAGTTTCAACTCTAAATTGTTTCACACCTCTAATATTTCCTAATATCACATCGTATGGCCCGTTTTTAAAAACAGCTGCTTCAACTGTTTTACACGCTGATGGTGTGGCTATGGTGACTATAGCTGTTGGCCAAACATATGTGCTGCCTCTTGAGCTGTGAACACGTTGTGTTCTGCCTGTGTATTGGTGGTGTTGTACGAATGTGTTACGTACTGCCACTGTTGAGCAGTGTGTGTCCCTAATTGCTGTGGCGTATCTGCTATTAATTTTTGACGTAAATGTGTCTGTTCTTTTACTGGCTTCTGTAAACGATGATATGAATGCCATTCTATTAATCTGTCTATATTTTGGTCTGTTGCGTTGTGCATCTTGTTGGCGTATATCATAATATCGTATTCTGCAATTTATTTGTTTGTGGCCTGTTCTATTACAATAGTAGCATCTGACACTGTAATTGTGTTTTTGTTGACTGTAGTTAATCTGAATGTTGTGATTTGCGCTATTATGTTTTTGGAGTGTATGTGGTGTTTCACTTTTTGTAGTAGGTATTTCGCTTGCTTCACTGAACGTGTCATCTGAATCTGAATCGTAGGAATAGTAAAATGTTGTTTCAGCTGTCTGGTTGTTATTATTAGTATCTAAACTTTGCACCGTTTCTTGTTTGGCTTGGCAAAGTTCTCTCAATTTTTCTCTTTCTTTACGAATTCTTTCTGTTTCTTCTTTAAGTCCGGCAATATATGTTTCTGCTTCTCCTTGTTTCTCTGCTAACTCGGCATCTATCTTTGCATCATATTCTTCTTCAGTCAACAAGGAATCTGGATCTCCGAATACCTTGTAATCTACAATTCTATTGATCAAATCTTCCATAGCATCTGGATCATCTAGAGTTTTTACGTCAAATTCTTTAACAGTTAATAACCAGTCTCGATTTTCTGTTGTCGTGTATTGTCCAAGCCTAATAATCAATTCATCCAGAATATCTGGATCCTCAATAGTTCTTGTTTTGTGTTCCATTTTAACTGTATTCTGAACATTTGTGTATAGCAACAAGTCATCAATTCTACCTGACTCTTCTAGGCCTGACTTGAGCTCAGTTTTAGTGCCCACTTCGTACAATGGAGGCATTTTTAAGGGTAGTGTGGTTGAAGAAATAGATAAGAAAGAGGCAGAAAAACCGCTGGCACCAAATATCCAGCACAAGTCTAAACCCAAACGTTTAAAAAATTTTTGGAAGGTACTTATCTTTTTGGACATGTTGACTGTTTCCTTGTGTTGTTAATCCAAACTCGCTCCGGTTGAAGAAACCCGCTGTTGTGTTGAGTTGAGATTCATTTTCTGTTGCAAAATGAACACTCTGAAAAATATTGTTTCTGTGGTTCAAAATTTTGTAATGTAAATTGCTTTTTATTTACAAAAACAAACACGTAAAACTTCAGTTAATTTTTTTTTACTTGTTATCTGAAAGGTAAAGCATAAAAGTAAATAAACTTTTGAACTGTATATAATAAAGAACTGCTATGCGTGTCATATAATTCGATTTGCACCCCCCCCCCCTCAAACTTTCGATTTTACCCCCCCCCCCCCCTCAAATTTTCAATTTGCACCCCCCTCAACCTTTCAATTTATTTTTCCAACCCATTTTGGCGCCCCCTGAGGTCGGCGCCCGGGGACATATGTCGTCCCCCCACCCCCACCTCCTCGCTACGCTACTGCATATAATTAGTCTGACTGAAGATAGAATAGGTCCACAATTCTTTGAGTCATCAATTAGCCATATTTCTTTTAAATTATTTCACAATTTATTTTATTATTCAGTTAGGCCTATAATAATACTATCTACTGCAACTTTTTTGCACATTACTAGCCTAAAAAAACGTACCTAAAACGATAGAGTTTTAGAGATAAACAAGAATTTTTCACCCAGTAGAAAGCTGAAAGACAAAGAGAGTTGGTTTGGAATCTAATAAATAATAAATTAAGTTAAGTATTAAGAAACTTCAAACAATTTCGTATGCGTTGCCGTTACCTTCCTTTCTGACCTCTCCTTTTCAACAGCCACTATTGTCTCTTGCTCATCCTCATTCTCGATGAACAACAGCGTATTTGTCAGTGAATTTAATCTTTGTCTGGCCATTTGACTACTGTCTGTTAGTCAGTATTTTATTAGACAGCCTATTGCTGTTTTATTTACATCCGTTGCTCCTTAGGCTATCTCTTTTTGATTTCATTCAGAGAAGACCACTCTTATATTTTTTCGCTCAGCATAGGTCTTGGTCTTGGGATAATTTTGTAGTGTCTAAATCTAGACCTCTAGTCGAAGCCTTACGAGCTTAAAATATTAAGATATTTAGTATTTAGATTTAGAATCTAGATTTAGATCCATAGGCAATGGCTACTGGATGCAAGTTAACTGTTTCAATAATTCAATAGCTAGGCCTAACTATTAAGCAGAAGCTGCTAAGTCTGCAAGTAACTGACTCTCACTCAGTCCTACTCAACTGTGACTCAAGTTCAAGTATGTACCAAAAAAAATGACAAATTCTCTTCTATACACTAAATCTAGATTTAGATCTAGAATCTAGATCTAGATCTAGAAATCTACTATAATGGCATACTCAAAAGCAGTGGCGTAGCGAGGTCGGGTGTCACCCGGTGCGGCACTTAGGTGTCACCCCCCAGAGGCGTTGCGACCCTTCCCGGGACAAACTTTCAAGTTTTCGATTTGCACTCCCCCCCCCCCCCTTAAACTTTCGATTTGAACCCCCCTCCCTCAACTTTTTGATTTGCACCCCCCCCCCCCCCCTCAAACTTTTGTTTTGCACCCCCCCCTCAAGTTTTTCTCTATATATTTTGCTATTTTTTGCCTTGGTGTCACCCCCCTAAATGGTGTCACCCGGTGCGGTCCGCACCCCCCCCCCCCCCCCCCGCCCCCCCCCCCTTGCTACGCCCCTGCTCAAAAGTATACTCGGCACTATAATAATATTAATAAAAGTATTTAAAGCCCTAGGCCCTATCTATTTATGATTTTATATTTGATTGGAGTATTTCTTACTGCAAATTGTGAAATTGTAAACTTTAGGCCTATTACTTTATTTCTTTTTTCCACCATTACTAGATCTTCTAGATTTAGATCTAGCTAGAGTCTAGCTAGATTTAGATCTATGGCTGTTAAAAGAAATAAAAATAAAATGTTAGGGCCTGGATGGCCTAATATTTTTTAAAACAGTAAAATGTGGACAAATGCCTCTGCAGTGCATACTGAATACTGAATACTGTTACCCACCCCCTCCAATATATAGGAATTTATATTAATATAAAGTATTATAAAGGCCTATGTATATATATATATATATATATATATATATATATATATATATATATATATATATATATATATATATATATATATATATATGTATATATATATATATATATATATATATATATATATATATATATATATATATATATATATATATATATATATATAGGCCTTTATGTATATATTATATATATATAGGCCTAATCTAATCCAATATGTATTATGTATCTAACCTTAGCCCCTAAGCTCATTAATATTATTATTTTCAGTGCAAAAGCGGATTATATATGCTGTATTCCTGAGTGGTTACCCTGGCCTTGAAGTTTATCAGAGCTAAATTCATATCTCAGGCAAATTATATTCTTCAATTTATAGAAAGTAGTCTTAGTAAAACAGAAAGAAAATCACGTGGCTCAAAAATGACAGAATCATTGATTGCTTTAGTAAGTATTTTCTATAGGCCTGAATATTGCTTTTTTTTTTCTCTCAGTCAACAATTACATTAAAGAAAACTAACTTTTTTCAGTATTTATATAACTCTCCAGTTTTAAAAAAAATATTTTACATTGCAATAATATAACTAAGGGAATAGGCCCAGTATAAGGGGGGGGGGGGTAGAATAATAATGCAAGCTTGTGCGAAATAAAATAAAATAATGCTTTACACTTCATACACACAGGTACCTGAGCTTGGGCGCAGTAACGTAAAAATTAAAGATCATGAATTTGTTGAAAAGGCAATCAGAACAATGATGAGGGATGCACATCATAAGCTTCAGGTTAGTTACTCTCGTGTTAAATTGCCATGGTTTAATTAATGTTGAGTTTCTGCTCCCTAGTAGAATTAAACCACAAAGATCATTGATTGGAACATCCTCTTCATTGGAGACTTTAAAATTGGGTTGACCATGTTTACATTTATCTAATTAAGACATTTTTAGAATTGTTTCATTTGTAGGTGGTTGCTGATTTTGATTGGACCTTAACTAAACATTGTGAAAACAACAAAATATGCAGTACAACCCATGGTGAGTTATTGCCCTTTGCTTATAACTGCATTGCCAGTGGATAAGTTGTATACTTTTATCTGTAGGTGGTGGCAGATTTTGATCGTACGCTTTCAAAATACTCTGAAAATGGGAAGATATGTAACACGACACACAGTGAGTTTAAGTTGGATTGGGTTGTGTAGTATTAAAAAGCTTTATCTGTGTGCTCAGTTTTCATTTGGCTTTCATGTTTGGTAATTCAGTGAAACATTTATATTAATCATGTGTGGTTTGTCTGTTATTGAATTTGTTTTATCTTTGATGTAGTTTAAAAAACTTACTATGTTCTAATGTCCTAGCTAAATTAATATTTTAATTTTTTAGAAGAAATTAATCCGTCAACTAAATTTATAACTTTGCTTATTTATTATTTATAATTTAGATTTAACACATTTACCAATATTTTTACTTAGAGATAAAAATTTATGAAAGTAGTAAACAGAAAACCCATAACAATAGAAGTATTAATTAAATGCAAAGTTAATTTTAGTCATGTATTTTCTTCTAGTAAATATAACATAATCTGAATCTTACAGTAATTCTAATTTTTTCTTAGACATTATCTACAGCATCAACTAAATTGATTAATTATAGATCACCCTAGTGTAGCTGAATAGATCTTATCTCATCAGTTCTTTCTTTAGTATAAAAGATCTCTGTGGTAAATGTAAGAAGTTTGTGAAGAACTCATAAGCCCACTAATTTTCTCCTTAGAGTTCTTTTGTTACGAAATATTTCCTGAATGATATTTAATTAATTCCTACCTACTGTACAATCTGGTCAGAACCTTACCACAGCCCGCATTAACCCTTACTACATCAGACCTGGTCATGTCTAACCTTTACAAACTAGTCTTCTCAATTTCAGTAGTACTGTAATAACTTTAAAAAGACCTAGGAGTCTATGTATAATAAAATGTTGTGGTAATAACTATTTACAATCCTGAATAATTGTAATAAAAATGTTGCCATGGATCAAGAGAATTGTATTTATTAGGTATCTAAGTTTTGCTTCTCATTTCTCCAGTGCCAGAATAGGCATTCTTTTGTATAAAATACTTTTACTTCCTCTTGTAAACTCAAATATTTGGCTTATGAAGTCATAACACAGAGATTATTTGATGCACAAACTGACACTCTAACACCATAATCTATCACAACTTTACACAGTGTCACCTATAGAAGCTTTAAATAATAATTAGGTTGAAACATTTTAGCTTTTATTTTGTACTTTGTGTATCTGCTATTAGTGTGATATTATTAGATGTAAATATCAATTTTGTTTATGTAGTAATTGTTAGTAAACTTTCTCAAAATGGTCGTAATTTAAGTACCAATTATGATAGATTTCTCCTAAATAACCTGATTTCAGTTTTAACATAAACAGTATTATTATGTTTTGAAACAAAAATATTGTTGACATTGAGAAAATTTATTAATTTGAAATTTCATGAACTTATTAAATAACTGAACTGTTAGTAAATTTGTAGCCACTGTATTATAATTTTGTTGATTTGCTTTGTGTGTTAGGTGTTCTAGAGGAAAGCACCCTCATGCCTGACTCTTTCAAAATAGCGGTATGTCAATTTTACCTCAATCTTAAAAAGTGCACATAAAGCTTATAATTAAGGTTCATGACTTCTTTTAACTTGTTATTTATTTGTAAAAAAAAAATATTGTTTCATCTCTTACAATTTTGGCCAAATTAATTATAAATATTTGTAAAATTTTAGGCACGCAAACTCAAGGACACCTATCTGCCCATAGAATTTGATCACAATCTTTCTATAGAGGAAAAAATTCCAAAAATGATTGAATGGTTAGTGTTTTATATTTTTTTACATCATGTCATTGGAAATGTGTATTAATTTTAGAGAATATAAATGTTAGGTATCATTTCTACATTTACTTATGTAGGTGGAGCAAAGGTCATGAATTGATCATTGGCTGTTCTCTCTCACGAAATAAACTAGAGCGCATAGTGGCTCAGTCTGAAGCTCGCTTGAGGTGAGTTGTCATTATGTTTATGTTTGGTTGAAATCATTGTGTTAAATAAATTCTAACTCAGCAGTTTTACCTGCTCAAATGTTGTTGGTTTTTATCCAGACCCTGGATGAAAAACATTTACAAAAATGGAATATGAATGTTTAGCTTGATGTTACTAAACATGCTTTAAACTAGATTGGAAGATTATCCAACTTACCTGCTTTGTTTTATAAAGAGATAACCAGTGTGAGAAAAAACATTTCTGTAAGGAAAGTTACATTGGCTACACCCTTTCATTTGTTTATCCAAATATTATATGCTACAAGGCTGAGTGAACTTAAAATGCTCTTGTATTTAGAAATGGATGCAAATGGTTCTTTGAGGAGCTGCATGAACGTGACATCCCAATCCTGATCTTTTCTGCTGGTATAGGGGACATAATTCACCTGGCAATATCTCAGCAAGCCCAGTTTCATCCAGAGAATATGAAAATTGTTTCCAATTTTCTCACGTTTGATGAAAAGGTTGCAACAATTTTTCGTTTTTTTAACTTGGTCTAGACAAGAAGCTTATGATTTTTTCTACTTATTTTACAAACATTAATTTAAAACAATTTATCATTTATCAAGAAAAATTGTCTGATTTCTTACGTTAATTTTCTCTACAAATATGATCATGTAAAATAATATTTCCCTTTTGTTTAGGAAATTGTGGTTGGGTTTGCTGATGAGATCATACACACGTTCAACAAGAATGAGAACGCTATACACTCAAGTGATTATTTCTTCAACATCAAACACAGAGAAAATCTTCTACTGATGGGGGACTCTGTTGGTGACCTTCGCATGGCAGAGGGTGCTGATCATGTAGAGTGTATCCTGAAAATAGGTTTTCTTAATTTTAAGGTGAATGTCAGAAATTGAAAACCTGTTTAGTCAGTTCATGTTTGATCAGTTTTTAATCATGTTTATTCTTTTCTGTCTGCAGGTTGAAGAAAGTCTAGAGCTGTACATGAACAGTTTTGATATAGTCATAGTAGAAGATGAAAGTTTAGATGTTGTGAATGGCATTATGAAAGCTATAGTTGGATCAACACCTTAGTTATAGGTGTATTCATTACAACACTGTATTTATTAGATTTTTGGTGCTCCCAAATTTATAATGAATGTGTGCAGATTTTACCAACATTTTGATCCTTTTGTTTTAGACTTTCAGTATTTAGTGAACTAAATTATTTAGAAAGCTACGAATAGTCTCCAAAATAATTTTATATATGTATCTACTTTACTAAAAATACATCTATACATAGAAATATAATATGTAGTGCAACTAAAATTGTTTAGTAAAAGGTATTTAGTTTTATAAATTGTGAGTTTGTTCACAGTAAAATTTTGATATTATAACTTGATTCTAAAACACACGGATTGCTGTCAAGAGTGAGTGATGCTGAGTGTTCTACATGAATCAATTACCCACTGCCACTAGAATATGCTTAATTCCATGTTTTTTCCATGCCTTAATGTTGTACAATCCATTTCATATATTGTGATAACTTAACGCTGTTATATAACACTTTTATAATTATTTTTTTAACTTGCTAAAACATTTATAAATGTGAACTGTAAAAAATGTCCTTACCTTACCATTTGTCAACATTTCTAGGTTTTTGGTTAAATTTCAGTTTTTCCTATTCAAAATGTGTATATCTATGTTAGATATTTTCTCCCTAAACAATTGTTTATTAATAGCAAAATAGTAACCCATTCACAATTCCATAATTTGAGCTGCTTTTCACAATTGTATATGTTAACAATATTTTTTTTCAAAGTCATGCCCATCTTTTTGTTATGCTTAATGTAGCATAAAAGTGAATCTTAGATCTCTGATCCTGTAGTCAACCACCTTCTAACAATAAATCCAACTGTTACAAGTGAACATTTTGTTTTGTGGTGGTAACATTGCTCAGAACACTGCATTCTACACCCCTACCCCCCCGAATACACAGAGAGATTACTGAATAAGACAAGATTATCTGGACATTGACTAATTTATTGCATCAAACACAATAGAGGTGAGATAGTGTGTAAAAAAATAAGTTCATATAAAAAAACAATATGTCAGTTAAATTTGTCAGCAGTGATTATTTTAATGGGAAGAATGTACAATCTGATTTATACAGAGCAGTGGCAAGGGAAAATACTTAAATAACTCAGTGTTTTTATAATAGAACATTAAACACTAGGGTCTTATGTTATGGATTAAGGATTGAGATAGCAGGCAATGGTGATGTGAATTTTCTCCTGTTTTATAAAAGCTGACAAGTCAAATAACAGATTGGGTATCAGCAAAAACCCAGATAATACAGCAGCTGATGGACCTGTGACAGAAACCTAATACAATACTTCATTAACAGATTTGATAAAAATAATACATAAACCAACACACTGGATACATAAAAAAAAATCTTAGAGACTAAAAAATCTAAAAATGTGTTAATAACCTAAAATTTCTAATGCAATTAAATTATATATTTTCATTATTATATTTCAAAATATAAAAATGGCATAATTATCACAGAATAGGTACATGACTTTGATCAAACAAGCACAAGATGTAGCTATGTATTTAATATATTATATAAATATTACTTGTGTGATTAATCAATAAATAATGTACAATGCTGATTGAAAAGTACAAGGAAAGTTGATTAGCCTGAGGTTGTATAAAACTGATTTTATAAATTCACGCTTTGTATGAAAAGTTTTTAAAAACATTTTTATAATTGTGTATTAATTTTAGAACTGCTAAAACAAAAAATATATAAAATATTTTACAAAAACGTAGTTTTTTTTACACAAAATTGATCTGTCAAGAGTTTAAGCATTGAGATTAACATAAACAAGTGTGAGAAAAAATTTCTGTTCACATCTAATTTGCCACGTGATGGTAGGATTCTCCTATGTGTTACAGGTTATCTAGACATTAAAAATACTGCCTTACAATCTTAATTCTGGTAATTTCACAGCTTTCAAGCCAAAACTGAGATACAGCAGCATTAGCTTAGGGACTTTCATCTCCCAGCATCACTTTTTCTTTTTAAATTAATATATTTATAGATATGTAGAGAGAGGCAGTAAATTGGATTTAAAAAATATACAAGTATGTAAATGGGAGGGAGGAAAAGTCAAAATCTAAGTCCACTCTGGTTAAGTTAGAACATAACATCACAAATTGAATGGATATCATCAATACTATTTATCTGATAAAAGGTTATCTTAAACAAAATTTAAGTTAATTCCTTCCTATAAGACTAGTGATATTGCATAAAATTATAACAATACTCTTGTTGGGTCTGCACTTAGTTTTTGTGCATTGATTTCCCATACTATACGAATAGATGTTTTTAAAATACTGCTCACTTGTATTTACCAAGAGTAAATGGTACAACATCTGAAGAAAATAATGAAATGCAGAATTATAATAATCATTCCATAATTTAAGCTGACAAAAATTGCCGCATTAAAAAAAAATTTCTTTTTACAAAAACAAGCATTTAAAAAAGGAAAAAACCTAAAATAGTTTAAGAAAAATATAATAAGCATATACATAGAAAGAAGCTTAATTATAAGCAGTGAAAATTAGAGTTAAGGTAAATTAAAAAGTTATACCCTGTGGTCATAAAATCATAAAATGCAACTTAAAATGATCAATAGAATAGAAAAGAATATGTTTAAAAATTAATGTAAGCCCTATATGCAATAAATTAATGTACAATTTGATTGTGTCTGCACTTTAAAAGAAACATTTTCATATTAAAATAATACAAATAGAATAACAATCACATAATAACATAAAAAATATGTAGCTAACAAAATCAATACACCAAATTTGAGATCTAAAAACAATTCTAGCAGAAAAAAAAAGAACTTGTAAAAACATTTTAGTATGTTCTATAATAGTTCATGAGAGCTCCTATAATGTACATTTTTTAAAGAAGACTTTTTTCAGGAACCTAATTTTTATGTTATTATTTATCATAGTAAGCATCATACCATAACTGACCAGACTTTTTCAACATTCTGGGGATTAAAGAATAATTTATTTTATTTATCATTTAATAATAAAAATACATATGTACAGAATTTTAAAGGCAACATTTTATTATAGCTTTTTGGCTTAATTCACCTACCTTATAATGTCAGCACAAGCAGTATATAAAGTTTTATTCCGATATTCTATTCCATGTTTCTTGCACAATGACTCAACCAGTGGAGCTACCTTGTGATAGTTCATTCTAGGCATTGTAGGAAATAAACTAAAAGAAAAATTTAAATTATGTTATTTACATGAAGACAATATTGGTAGTGTTTGTTTTGACGATAGACAGGAAATATGCAATGTGCTTAAATCCTCTCACATCCAATTAAGGATATATTTATCATCATCTGGTTGAGAGGAAATAAACAATAAACACTGTGTTTATTTCCTGTACACGATGTGAGAGGATATAAGCATATGCATATTCCCAATACAGTATGATGAAACTGTCTGAATAAAAACAAAAACAAAAAAAACCATTCTACAAGATACAAATTTCATTAAATTCATAAAGTAAGTTAAATTTTTAAATATTTGTTCTAACAATCGATTGCTCTTACCATAAGCCTAATCCTAACCACTAAGCCTAACCCTAAGTCCAACCCAAGTTAGATCTAATGCATTAAAAATATAAAAATAACACCATTTGCGCCCATAACAAAAAAAAAACATAATTAAGACAGGTTTTGAACCTGAAAACAATACTGAAAAAATGTGTAAAAATTAACAGACTATAAAAATAAAATATTGAATGAAACAAACCTCTCTAAAAAATTCTTAAAATATGTATGGTTATAAATTAAAGCATCTGATTGGATGTAATAGGATCTAAGCACATTGCATATTTCTTCTTAAGGACTTCATACAATTATAAACAAATATTTAAAGAAAACGAATATATATTTATATTCTGTTATAATTTTTTATGATGTATCACAAAGTGGGGGGACCACACTGGGTATCACCATTCAAAGAGGTGACACCAAAATAAAATAATCTAATTTAATGATAGTTTGCTTTTTTTTTTGGATTAGTTTAATAGCTTATTACAGATGTGTACATCATTGAGCACTGGGTGGTGCTATCTTCCCAAGGGGTGATATCAATCTGCCTGTATTTTAGTTAATGTTAATGAAGAAGGTGGAATCTTTGTGTTACCCCACCAGGTGACACCAGACTTGTGATGCAAATGTCATTATAACAGTGATGGATATTGATTAAATGTTGTCAGCAAGAACAATTAAAATTTACTATGGAGTGTTAATATCAGTACTGGGTGTACAAACAATTCACTATAAACCCTCTGGCTAAATTAATATGACTTAACAGTTACATTAATAATTCTACTATTTACAGATGACATAGCAAGGATGGAAGTGCTTATATCATCCAATGAATTGATGAAATAAGTATTTTTTTAATGTTTAGATCTATATTTTATGTAGAAGTGTTTTTTGTTTTTCCACAGACTATTTCGTCATACTTTGTATATATCCTAAACCAGATGTGAGAGGATCTAACCCAGTAGCGTATTTCCTCTATCGTTTGTTGAAATAAGCAATACCAGCAAGGATTTGCAAACAGTGTATTTATAAAAGGGAATAAATGTGTCCAGCTTGTTTGGGGATTGCCCAAATTATTGAAGCTAAAAAATAATTTTAAAACATCACTAATAGGAAAAAAAACTACATGTATTTTATCCACTTTAAATAAAATCATACAAGAAATTACATTTTTAATGTATAAATTTTTTCCCAGATGAAATTTCAAAACATAAATATCCTACATGAATCTATGGAAAAAGTATTTTAGCATTAGAAATGATCCATAACATTGATAGTTCCTGTTTTGGCATTAAGGATCCCACCCCATTGTGGTACTTACTGGTGCTCAATCTGATAGTTGAGGTGACCTGTGAACCAGTCGTTGAACCAGCTAGACTTGACGTTACAACTTGACCTCAGCTGCAAGGTGAACCAGTCCAGATTTTTGCTGTCTCTGTCTACCTCGTTGGGCAGGTGACTCATTTGTGTGACCCAGGTGAACCAGTGACTTTCAACAAACCTACAGAGAAAAATGTTCAGATCTCATGTACATGCTTAGAATAGAATGTAGGTCAATCTTTAAAAATTAACAGATACTTAAAATTTAAAGAGTTAAGCATTTGGTTTTTGTACCTCATGCCCATATAAAAAGCAAATGTTCCCCAACCACCAAAAAATGGTGTGTAGCAGTAGAAAAATCTCATGAAGAATGCAATGGCCAGTCCAAGGTCCTGAAAGATACATTACATTCATAGTTCAATCTTTCGATATATTGTTTTTAAATTTATTATAATGTGACCTGGTACTCTTCAAACTTTCCAAGACTGATTTTTTTTAATTTTCAAAAATTTATTTAGAGAATTTTTTTTTTTAAATTAGTAAGGTGTAAACATCGTTATTTACGTTTGGTTACGTTTGGTTACATTTGGTAAAAAACAAGATTGTAACAAAATTAATTAAAAATAAACTACATACCTTTTTGATTTAAAAATTATTTGTGTAAAATGATCTTAAAAGAATTTCAATTGAAATTATCTTACCAGCCAGTCTCTCCTTTTAAGACAAAAGTAAATGATCTCAAAATGGAAATAAATTGGTAATAATAAGGGTGGTCCCACTGAAAAAATAGAATGTAAAATCTTGATGGTAACTTGAACACAAGTAACTTCAAAACTTGAACATAAGGTCAAAATTAAGAGGGTATTAGCTAACAGCTACAGGACATCCCCCCCCCCCTGGAACTATTACCCCCCCCCCCCCCCTCAAGTTAGAAGCCTAACTCTAACTAAAATTCTATCCTATATACTACTTTAATCTTAACCTTAAGAAAAAGACCAAAACCTAAGCATCCACCTTAGCCTAAAACTTCACACAAAACCAAAACCAACGCTAGACATTGGTTTAAGCCTAACCCTAACACTAGCCTTAACCCTAACTCTAACCCAAACCCTAGCCCTAAACCTAACCCTAACCTTAACCCTAAACCTAACCCTAATGTCCTACAGGGTGGGGGGGGGGGGTAATTACTCCGGGGGTAATGTTGGGGGGGAAATGTCTGGGGGGTAATTGACAAGGGGGAAAATGCCCTGTTCCCTTAGCTAACAATAAAGCTAAACTGTCTCTCTCGAGACACCAAATCTTTAATGTAAAGAGTCTTTGTACCATTAAAGCTGTTTCATTTCTGAAATTGGTTTAAAATATAAAACGAGCAGAAAAAAAAAGATTTTTAAAGAGAAAAACGTTAAATCATTTTTAAACAACTATTGAAAATTTCCAAGGTCAAATACTTACATAGAAAAAAATATTCATGCTGCCATTGATAAGGCATAAAACCTTTCTTCTTTTTACCAAACTCAACAGGAAGCTTGTCTCCAATAAGAAACAGATACGCAATTTCAACATCTGGATCTTTTTTGATTAAGTTTGGTTTTGCATGGTGCTGAAAGTGGCGGAAGTTCCACCAATGAGATGAGGCTCCCTGATACAAATGATGAATAATTGTTTGATTTGAAGGGTTGTTAGAAATTTTAAAAAATAAACTAAATAAACTGCATTCAATTACATTGATTAATTCAAAAGATTCACCTTCATAAAGCCAATAGTTAAATGATGGAATAGGTGTGATCTCTTGAGGTCAGGGAAAACACTATGGTGACCATAATCATGCTGGGTCCACCCTGCTTGGGCCTGAAATCATGACAAGACCAGATGACACTTAGTTGGCATTGATGTCAGCAACTTTACAGAAAGTCATATAAGCAAGATTTTTTTCATATTTTTATTCATGATTTTAATTTTTTTTTAAATATTTTTTTTTTCATTTTAAGGTGGCATTTAAAAATAGTAATATTCTAGATTTAATTAAAATTTAATTTTTTTATTTAAAAATAGTTAGGCCCCTAATATTCTAGATTTAATTAAAATTTTCTTTTTTTGAGAATACTGCATTATTCTAATTAGTGCTATATCAATTTCTTTAAATTGCATGAAAAAGTTCCATTTCAGCAGGAATATCAATGATCCCATTTGGCTCTTTAAGTTAAAATAATATGAACTAGACTGTTCTAGGATGAGTGGATACATGAGAATGGGATTCACTAGTGTCAAAAAAATATCTATATTTAATTAGACTGGGTTAAAAATATTAAATATTTCTTAAAATAATTCTAAATCCCATTTTTCTAAAACATAAAAAATAAGAACTTACTTCAATTTTAATGCGTTTTTCCTTTTTACTGTGTAATACTTTTCTTAAGACTATATTAAGTCAAGTGTAATAATGTTTATATAAGTGTGTATTTTGCTTAAAATATGTACCTGAACTGTTGCCAAAATGAGTATGGCTGCCAGTGTTATATACCACTGTGTTCCAAAATACCATAACAAGCACCACGCAAGTACCTCTAGACCGATGATGTGGAAAAAATGAAATAGATAAAACCATGGATCTGATTTAAGCCAACCACTTTTTACAACCATCTCTCTCAGATCTCTGAAGTCTTTTTTAAGAGTACTCTGTAGGGAATAAATAGAAAGTGTAGGGTTTTACATAAACAATTCAATACAATTTTAAGGTTGTGCAAAACTAAATAAGCGATAAAATAATATGTGATTTACTTTTGTGAATAAGATAATAAAACTGTACTGTTAATATGTTCTTATCTTCATTCCTTCCAGAAATTTACTATTATAATAATCTATTAAAATAATGGGTCATTTTTCATAGGCAGAGAGTATGCAGATAATGAAAAGGTAAGTGTGTTGTAAGTTTAAAGCCTGAAATAGTGCTCATTTTATAACTGTTAGGCATACATAATTTTTACTTGTTATTAAATGGCACTAAATATTTCCCATCTTTAATGCTGAAAATTATATAATTTAACTTAAAAGGAAAGCATCAAATTTAAAAATTAAATGAACCATAAATGATAAATCATCAAGCTGATAGAGCTTAACTTACTAATGGTGGATCAACAACATCACCAACATATAAACTTTGCAGGAATTTGCCGACTTTTTCTTTGTCATTGTGAAATGCAACCCAAGCATCCTGCAACAAAAAAAATGTATATGTAAACATATGTATGCTCATTCCTCTACTGATTCTGATATATGTTTTTATTGTGCAAAGTATAAGTAAATAAATTTGCTAAAAGTATAATGCTTTTTATTTTTGAAGACCTAGGACTACATATTTGGATAAGGTGAACCTCCAGTTCACACATATAGGCCTAATGTATGAAATAATTATATGCCCTCAGTACAAACTACTCATCTATAAAACATGTTATGTAGTAGGCTTATACTTTCATTACTCTCAATATTATAGTATGTGTTTACTTTTTCTACCTGTGATACTGATTGTCTATGAAAAAAATTAATTAATTAGGTAGGTAATTTACATACTATTGTAAGAGGACATCCTTAAACAATGTTACAATCAGAGGAGGTAGAGATGGGAGGTTGAAATGTTGTGACAATATGTGTCAATGGAGAAAGGGGGTATTTTTGACATGTTTTTGAGTTTTAAAAAGTATTGATAGAAAATAAAATTAGGTAGTTGTTTTGCATTTTTAAAACATTGTTATAGAAATGTATCAATATGGGAAATTGATATTTTACTAAGTTCAGGAAATATTTTAGAAAGAAGTAAATGTTTTAAAACCAAAATTATTAAAGGCTGAGGTGTTACATCATTTTGGGGTAAGATTCTGGCATTTTGGTGACGATGTGTGAAAGTGGTGAGAGGGAAGGTAAAAATATTTTTTAAAAATGTGATGTCTTTTATTTATGGATGACTCTTAATACCATAAAGAAAAAAACTTTTAAACCTAATAAAATTACCGTTGCATCCTCTCCTGCATAATGGTTAAGTATTTTGGCTCCACCAGGGTGTTTCTTGGCAAAGTTTGTTATGTCATACGCTTTTCCATTAATTAGTAGCCATTGGTCATCTTTTTTATTGTGTTTGCTCACTTCCTCAAAAGTGACAGTTTGTATGGCATGACTATGACCATTTTTAGCTTTTGTCCCATTCTCCATTTTTATTCCTTCAAATGGAACTATTTTAAGAGTTGGAAAAAAAATATTTAGAAGGCATATTTAGTATTTAGATTAGGGTCCAAAATCTAAATACTAATTCTAGCATAATTAATACAATTGAATAGGCCTAGTCTATACCTATATTAAACTATATTTTTAATTAATTAATAAAAAACTAAGTCTAATAGGCCTACTTAATAACTGTAGTATTAGTTACTTAGTACTAGTAGTAGTAGGCCTGTTTGAGTATTAGCCTATAGTATTTTTGTAGGCCTATTTCAATTTCGCTTAATTAATAATACCAGATAATAGATCTACTAACTACTTCTTAAGTCTTAAATAATATATTAAATTGTAGGTCTATTAAAATAAATTAAATTTTAAAAAATAGGCCTACTGACTACTCACTACTGACTAGAACTAGAATTTTCCAACAGGAATAGAAATACAACTTCAACACGCCTATCAAAAAAATCAAAGCAAATTTAGAAAGATTAATATTATTTTATAGACATGCACACACGTTAAAATGGAAGTCCCAGTTACATAAGTATAGATTTATAGATCTAAAATCTAGATGCCAAAAATACCAACACTTTGCGGGTGTATGGTGGTATTGGTAGCGGTAGCGTAACGCCACCGGTAGTCATAACAATTTCATAACAAACATTTTCCTATTACCACACACTGGCACACAAGTCGGTTAAATAGTTACAAAATAATTCCAAAGCATGAAGCTTTCTATCATTTTATTGTTGACATTTAAACATACGCATAGATTTAGATACTAGATACTAGATACTAATCGCAGCATAGTTTTCTTGCAGCCTGTCATTTTTTGTTGGATACCAAAGTTTTGTTCCACAATTTCAATGAGGAAGTGTCCCTTCTTTTTTTTTAACTTGCAGGTACACATGAACTCAAGTTTTGAAGTAGGCCTAGATTCTTCTAGTCCAGGGGTCGGCAACCTTTTGAGACGGCAGAGCCAAAAGTTACAATTTACAAAATTTCCCAGTTTTTAAAGCAGGGGCGGAACTACCATACCGCCAGACCCCGCAATGCGGGGGGGCCCATGACGTTTAGGGGCCCAGTTCCGACCAAAAAACAATGAATTTTTTTTTCAAAAATTATGTTTTTCATGCATCTTGAAAGTGGTTTTGTAAAAAAAAAAAAACAAATAGGGATGCCCACGAAGCTCATTTAAATAGTTTTGTACTATCTATATTAAAAAGCTATTGATTCTCTGAATTGTTACTTAAATAAAACGTACTATACAATAGTATAGCTATAAAAATCAATGTTTTCAAAATTGATATTATCAAAGCCAAAAATGAAAAAAATAAACATAACGCGATAAACCATTCGAGAATCAAACTAACGTCTTTATATAATTTTGACCAGCCTTTTCGATGTACTTGCACACTTATCAGGGGCGGAACTACAGTGCCGCCAGACACCGCAATGCGGGGGAGGGGGGCAGACCGATTGGGGGCCCAAAAATCCTGGCTAAATTATTTTTAAAAAAAAAAATGTAAAAAAAAATTAAAACAAAAAAAAATTTAAATTTTTTTTTTTTTTAAAATTAGGTGGAGGTCGAGTTATCTTTCTTCTACAGTTATAAAAAAACACGATAGTCGGCAAACGTCTTTGAAAAAAAATGTACAGACTATAGCTCGAGAGACCGCCAGACATATAGACAACTTCAAAGACGCAGGGGCGGAACTACAGTGCCGCCAGACACCGCAATGCGGGGGAGGGGGGCAGACCGATTGGGGGCCCAAAAATCCTGGCTAAATTATTTTAAAAAAAAAATGTAAAAAAAAAATTAAAAAAAAAAATTAATTTTTTTTTTTAAAATTAGGTGGAGGTCGAGTTATCTTTCTTCTACAGTTACAAAAAAACACGATAGTCGGCAAACGTCTTTGAAAAAAATGTACAGAATATAGCTCGAGAGACCGCCAGACATATAGACAACTTCAAAGACGTAGCCTACCTTTTTAGTTTTAGTGGCGTCGATTAGGAGAACAAAAAAGGATTGTTATATTGTTTACATTATTAAATATATATATATATATATATATATATATATATATATATATATATATATATATATATATATATATATATATATATATATATGATTGTGTGTTTAAACTACTGGCCTGGACTCTACAAAAAATATAATTATTTATTTCGATGTCATACATTTATAATTGCGTTCATTTTTACTTTAACAACTGTATCAATAAACTTGTGAAAGTTTAAGTTATCTCCCTTTAGCGAAGCATCTGAAGTTTTTGCCGGCACGCTTTGAAATCGGGCTGGGGAAATGTTGCGGCGACTATTCTGGTCTTCTAGACGACCGGAAAAAGTCGGCACTATTGATGTAGATGTTTATCGGCACTTTCTAGTCCCCTTCCTTTGAACCTTCCCAACTCTCACCCCTCCCCCCTCACCCCCCTCTCACCCCTACCCCTACCCCTCACCTCTACCCCTCACCACACCCTTACTCTTACAATAAGATGTAATGCATAGATTAACGAACCGTCTATGAACTACTGAACTGTAAACTGACTACTTCTGCACATTTTGTTAAAGACACTAGTCAGTAGTTGTTCATTTACCTGATGAAGTATTTTGTTGACGAGTCTAATTCACACAACAAGGAAGGTAAGGCTCGTCTTTATATTATTAATTGTTTTATAATTAGTACACGTATTAATTGAACATTAGTTATTAACACTAAATACATTAAAGTTAATCAAATTTAGGATACAATGATCTAGCTTTTAAGCCTAAAAACAACCAAAAGATCTATATCACCTTTGAATGTATTAATGTTTAATTTCATGTTTAGCCCGTAACGGGGAGGGGTTATATTCGGTTATAATATGGGTGGGTCTTTGGCAGTGTTTCTTCCAGACTTTTTTCTTCGGGGGGGGGGCACTTGAAATTTTCGGAGGGGGGGGGGCGGGCACTGTTAAAAGTATATATTTTCTATATAAATTATATAAATTTAATTTCTTTCGGGGGGGGGGGGGGGTGCGGACCGCACCGGGTGACACCATTTAGGGGGGTGACACCAAGGCAAAAGATAGCAAAATATATAGAGAAAAACTCGAGGGGGGGTGCAAATCGAAAGTTTGAGGGGGGGGTGCAAATCGAAAACTTGAGGGGGGGGGGTGCAAATCGAAAACTTGAGGGGGGGGGTGCAAATCGAAAATTTGAAAGTTTGTCCCTGGGAAGGGTCTCTATGCCTCTGGGGGGGTGACACCATTAAGTGCCGCACCGAGTGATACACGACCTCGCTACGCCACTGCACCCGATATATATATATATATATATATATATATATATATATATATATATATATATATATATATATATATACATATAGATATATATATATATATAGGGGCCTAAAAAAAATTTTTGCGGGGGGGCCATTTTTTTCTAGTTCCGCCACTGTTTTAAAGAGCCACTAACATTTTTATTTAAATATTATATTTAATTATGATTATATATATATATATATATATATATATATATATATATATATATATATATATATAGATCTATATATATATATATATATATAATGATATATATATATATATATATATATATATATATATATATATATATATATATATATATATATATATATATATATATATATATATATATAATTGATATATTGATATATATATATATATATATATAATTGATATATTGAATATATATACATATTTATATAGGCCTATTTTATATATATATATATATATATATATATATATATATATATATATATATATATATATATATATATATAAAATAGGCCTATATAAATATGTATATATATTCAATATATCAATTCAGCATCAATTCCAAAAAGCTTAAAGTTTTTGTTTTGAGAGAATCTACTATGAACGTCAGAGTACTTGCATTTGTTTTGAATTGTTTATAGTGGCGTCACTATGTCGGGTGTCATCCGGTGCGGCAATTTGTGATGTCACCTCCCTCCCAGAGAAACAAAGTATATATTTATATATATATATATATATATATATATATATATATATATATATATATATATATATATATATATATATATATATATATATATATATATATAATATATATATATATAATATATATATATATATATATTATATATATATATATCTATACATATATATGGTACTAATACAGTTGGATGTAACTTTGTTTTCTCTATAGGTAGTGTGCATTACGTCACGGTGTCACCCTAACCCCCTTGTAATAATTGCCAATTTGTACTTAAAAGACTATTTAACTTAAATTAATCATTAATGGAACTGGAAAAAAAGCATATTTCTCCTGAACATTTTACAATTTTTTGCCTTGGTGTCACCCCCCTAAATGGTGTCACCCAATGCGGTCCGCAACCCCGTCCTCGCTACACCTCTGAATTCATGTTAATAGTTGCATTGGTTTCATCATGAAATTTTTTTCTGACTTTTCAAAATTTAAGTAATTTACCGCTCTCCATGCCTTCAACAAAAAAGTAAATTTTTTTTAAACAATCCACTTCTTCAAACAAGGCATAGCTTGGGTTTTCCTTTCCTTGCAGTTTTATATTTAGCTTGTTTCGTTTCTTTGTGATATCCACCATGAAGTTGATTGTTTCAATTTGGGATGAACAATTTAATTGAAATAGGAAATAACTAAATATTTTAATAGAATAGTGAGTGTTTATTGTTTATTATTATATCGTTCATTACAGAGTGTTGCAGAACAATATTTTTATGAGTTTTGAAAATAAAACAATTATTAATATTTGTGCACGGAGCTGAAGAGCCGCATCTTGACATCAAAAGAGCTGCATGCTGCTCATGAGCTGCAGGTTGCCGACCCCTGTTCTAGTCATTAGGTCCAAATGTTGCTGATGTATGATTACATCATTTGAATTACCTAGTTCAAATAATGATCTGTAAAAATTGTAGATCTAGATCTAGCTAGCATGCAACTTATTGTTTGTCCCACAATAGACTCTTATGAAAATATGTTTAATAATTATTATTATTACATTAATAATAAGGAAGATCATATCTGATTGTCACAGATTTTGTTTTGATTTACTAGACGACCCAGTTTCCCATTGGGAAGTGGTCTATTTGTTGCACTGCACAACACAAACTACTTGCCAACTTCCTCCACCCCCACCCCCCAGTTCTTATGTGACATTCATATATGGCAAGAAAGGAAAGTTGAGTTTTGTGCACGCCTACGGGGATGGGGGATGATGAGGTTGGCTTAGTAGTGATTTCACTCATCAAAAATAAAATGTGTATGTTATGATGAAAAAAATATGTACAATTTTTATTCAGCAAAACACCATATTATTACTGACACATATTGCCTTGAATAATTCAGTTTAAAAAACCTGGTTAGTAAATAGCATTGGTATTTTTGTTGTTTTGTTTACAGTCTTTTGTTTTTGTTTTTTGGTGAGGTCTGTGCTTTAATATTATGCATTCTAAGTTTAATTTTAAACAGAATAATTTTTCTAACTAAGCTCACATTTTTAAATTCTACCTTTATTGCAGATTTTCTGATCTCTGGGTTTGGATAAATTTTTTAATATATAAAATTTGAATTTATAGCTTTACTTTGATGAACCCCTAATAATTTTGGTCAGACATTATTTTAATACAGCAACAAATTTGAGGATTTAGCCAGGTGTTATGCCCAATCTATGACAAATTTAAGCAAACAAAAATTTCATAATTAATTTTATTTAAAAAAAAATGTTTTTAAATTCCTAAAACTAATACTTTGCCTACTGTATGTAACTTGAAATACTGTATTAACAAAAAAGTTGCTGAATATCAGAATCTTAAATAATTTGTATGCACAAATAACAGACTAAAAAACTACATAACATTGTATCATTTAATATGCTTTCAGTACATAAAACACATTATTTCAGAAACAATATAAACACTGTAAAATATTGGTCTTGCATGAGCAAATAATAAATAAACTTTTAATAAATTTTACAACTCACAATGAAATATCACAAAAAAATAAAACATACTGTGGTTGTATCTTGTATAATGATCAGGTGCACTACAATCCCTCAGATCAAGGTAAATAATTTTCTAAATAGTACCTTAGTTAAAGGCAACTTAACTAAAATTTACAGAACTATCAAGAAGGCCTATTTGAATGACAACCTAGTTACCTAGGGCACGAACAAATTGCTGACTTTATAAAGAAAAAAAAGAAAGTGTAAAAATTAGCAAATCTAGCTAGATCTTTTAAAAATAAACTATCTGGATTGCTTTTTACTTCCATGGGAACTTGTCACCATCTGTGTCGGTTGTAACAATGCTTCGACCATCTGTAGAAATGGTGTCCCCAGTTTTGGCATCTAGTAGAACGAGTGTTGGGATCCCTCTAATGCCGTAGGAAGAACACAGTTCATCCTGTAATAGAATTATCATACAGCTGTGAGTGCAAGCATGATATCAAATGAAAGTAGCCCTTGTGTATTGAAGTACTTAATGATTGCACCTAACATCCATCTAATAATTTAGGCTAACTGAATTTTCTATTAACTGTTGATTTTTTAAAATTATTTTTAAAACTCCAGAATCTATCGTTATGTATTTAGTCTGATATGGGTATTATTATGCTATTCAATTTGGAAGTATTCATACTGTAGGGACTTTTAAAGATCCCAATAATAATAATAAAACTAGCAGCTGTTGCTGTTACAATAAACTTTAGAGTGTTGTTGGTTGGAATTGATTAGCGTTGTGTATACATGAAAAATGCGTCTAAGACCTTTGTATCCCTTTCCTCATACGGTAGCAACAACCATGGCATGCTGTTAAAGTACTCCTGGCAAGATGCCTCATCTCTATCAGAGCTGACGAAGACCACTTCAAATTTTTTCCCAGCATTTCTTAGTTTGGTGTAGTATTCTGCAAGAACAGGCGTAAACCCACGGCATGGGGGGCACCAGTGGGCAGAGAAGTAAAAGCCTGGGGAAAACAAAATTTAGCTGTGAAATCATGAAAAAATATGAGTAATTTGCTCAAGTTTCATTTTTTAACACGTCCACTCCTAGAAGTAGAATAAGTTTGTTTTTATAATGCTACCCATGAATGACACAAGAAGGATGTTTTCCTATATATATTATTAATCCACCTTCTAATTCAAGTGGGGAAAAAACATTAGATACCTTAAAAAAAATGAAAGACGATTTCTCTAAAGTTCATCAAGCTCTCTCTCTTCAAAAGGATGTAGGACAAAAGGCCGACAGGAACATTATTAATTATTGGATATTATATAGATCTAGAAAATATATATACTTTAACCAGTGTCTGCACAACCCCCTTCACACGCCCCCCCCCCCCCCACCCCCCTTGGAGATATCTGAAAGATACCCAGGTCGTTACCTCGGTACTGATTGCGGAGTTAGGATGATTTAGACAACATAATAGGTCATATCGATCCCAGACTTGATTGGTCTGTTGTAGCTACACGAATTGGTCGAATCTCCATGACGACGACACGTAAATAAAACACGCGTCGCGGTGTCATCACTACTGGGTTTTGGTTTTTTAGTTAACTTGAAGTTACCGTACATGTTTAATCAATGCATATTTAGTCCTGTTGAAAACATAATCGTTCAATTGCGTATTCGAGCTATCGCGCACATTGTAGATAATGTCAATAATGAGGTTACGCGTGTAGACTACACGTAAAGTGGTCTATACAATGTTATTCATTGTAAGGTCAGGGAGGTCAGGGTCGCTTGAAGTCAATACGGTAACTGCTGTGTCACGGGGCGGGGCTACGGCTCAGTATTGGAACTTAACGGCACGCGCTGTGAATAACAAAACTAGTATTTGTCATAGCTCTCAATCACAGATTGGCTGATTACACACGTTCCCATAATGCATGGTACAGATGCTCTATGTAGCCAACACATACACATAATAATTACACGTCATTGTAAAATCTCCATATTAAGAGGTAGGCACACGCTAGAAAACCATGACTAGACGAGTCTTAGCGACACATTCAGGGGCGAACTATCAATTTTTCGCCCTAATACCACCATTTATAGTGATTCAAGTTGAAATTCGGAAAGACTGGGGTACCAGTCTCTTTCCCTTAACCGTAACAGTTTTGATGTCGGTGTCACAGATAGGAAATAGTTAAGCCTGTAACTGTAATAAACCAAGTAATAGTCTCTATCTTAACTTTGACTTTTTACAACTCAATGATGCAGCTAAAAATGAGCTTTCAGTTTTTTTCTACCCCGTCCGGCACTCTTAGGGGCGGCTGCCTCACACGCTCTCCCCTGGCTACGCCTCTGGGCATTGATGATGTTTATTCCCTAAACACGTTATAAAAAAAAACTCCCGGATTTCAATTTTTCATTTCTAAGAAAAATAAAACAGTACAGCTATGTTCATTCCCCCGCGATCAAGCCGGGTAACAGACGGTAGGACGACGTCCCACGCCTGGTGGGGGGGGGGGGGGGGGGGGGGGGGGAAAGGGAGGTAAGCATGGTGAGAGCCCACGGATGAATAAACTACCAACATGTAGTGAGTAGTGTATCAAAGCAATATCTTCGTGACACTGTTTCAGTCCATAAATTTGCCAGTTAGTTGGAGTTCACTACGCCGAGGCCTGCCTGGCTGGAGTACAACTCATGAGCCGGTATACCCGTGCCATTCGACTCGAGCTATATCCACAGTCGTCTCTCACCTATCCACACTAACATGACACAATGATGTTTTTCTATATCCAGTCGACACTCACTTGTTCCAGGCTTAATATATCTAACCAATGGACCACATTATGGCTTGTACTACTTGTAAAAGGTTTGCGGGGAGGGGTGGTAAATGTTACAGTGCCATAAATATAATTGTATAAACCTTAAAATTTCCCAACGAATGCATTTCTCTAATCTCAACAAGAACATGCAAAACTTTGAGTCACTTGATATCTCATCTTATCAAGGAAGCTGCGCTACTTCGACAATATTTTTAATTTATGAAAACCCCTCCCTCCCTCATTTCTTGGAAATAATTACTAGTAATATTAGGCCTGTATAATTTAGAACAAGAGATCTATACCCCCCCCCGAGTTTCTTCCAGGCATCTCTTCGCTTCGGGGTGGTAGGACTTTCTTTGCCCCCCCCCCCCCCCCCCGGAACGAAATGGAATTTATATAGAAATTATATACTGTTAACGGAGAAAAAAGTCTGGAAGAAACACTAGCCGCCCCCCCCCCCCCCAATTTATATCTGTCTCATGAACCCTGAAACCCTGAATAAATCTCTCGACCGGCAAGCCTGACAACCCCGTGATGTTGTAGGCCATAAGTCTAAGCTAATATTAAATTTTAATCAATTATATTTTTAGTAATTTTATTTTTCTTGCAGTTTAAAAACGCTACAAAAAATGCCGGTACACCGGTACAATCATTTCCATGCAGACCACAGAGTAGCCTACAGCATCGTAGCTAGCAGCTCTATACTATACAGACCGGTGTGTTTCATTTTGTGTCGGTATGCCTTATGAAACGGCGACCTTCCAATATAAATCATAACTTCTATAGTATCTATACCACCTTAGCAAAACATACAAAATACAAGTACCGAGATGACGAATGCAATTAAGCAACAACCCGTATTGTCTTCTACAATTGATAAAAGTCATACAAAAAAATGTAGTGGACTCTGACCTAGCGTGTTGACTTACACCTGACCGAGTGACGTGTATCTCAACACACAGGACACACAGACAGTACTCACCAACAACATCGTTGTCTGAGAGGGAGGAGACAGCCACTTGACCATTCTTGCCCACAACCTTGTCCCCCAACAGCTTGACTAAAGCCATCTTCAAATATTCCAACACTGATCCTAAGTCTGGTGTACACCGCACGGTAGCTAGCACGGCCGACTGGTGTCGTGTACTGAGATGGAAACACAACAAACAGCTTGGCCTAGTTTATCGGCGTAATCTTCTATATATAGAACACGGTATCGATTCCCTACAGTAAAATTAGAATGTGACTACAACGTTGTTAATACAGGTAAAGAAATGACTTGCTTAACCAGAGCAATTCTGAATATGTATATTTGGTTTCAGTTTATTGATTATTTTTGCAGTTAATTGAGTTACCCCCCCCCAACCCGTTAGACTAATTTTAAAAAACTAAAAGTACCAAAATAATGAATTTGTTTCGATCCGTTGATGTGTCGTTAAATCTGGTATTTTATGTTACCCTGTGTTTACTAAAGGATAAAATATATCACATAATTAATTCGATTAATAAATACAAAATTAGTAATCAATGCTATGAATTTATAACTATTGATTTGAATTTTTATTTACAGAAGATTAGGATGTTGATTAAAAGAAGTAACGTTTGGATTTTCCTGTTACTTAAGTTACTTCATTAATTGTTGTAGTCGATGTGACCCACACCTGGATGGTACAGCATAATTAATGAGAGGGCGGAGCTTCGCTAGATTTTGTAGAGCTGAAGATGTAGGCAGAGACAAAATAAGGCAAAAATGTTGGCAGAATACATGACCTCTCACATCCACCAACATCTCACATCCACCACATCTCACATCCACCTCACCATCATCCACCACCATCTCACGATCCACCAACACCATCTCGACATCCACCAAAACATCTCACATCCACCAACAACATGCTCACATCCACCACCATCACATCATCACCAGTCTCACATCACCGACATCTCACATCTCACCTCCATCTCACATCACCTACTCCATCTCATCTCATCATACAACATCTCACATCCACCAACAACATCTCACATCCACCATCTCACATCCATCCAACAACATCTCACATCCACCAACACTTCTCACATCCACCCAACAACATCTTACATCACAACAATCATCTCACCTGCCTCACTCACAGCTCACATCCAGCTCACATCCACCATCATCTCACATCCATCACCATCTCAGCATCAACACATCTCACTTCACCAACAACATTCTCACCAACAACATCTCACATCACCAACAACATCTCACATCCACCACCATCTCACATCCACCAACAACATCTCACATCCAGCCAACAACATCTTCATCCACCAACAACATCTTACATCCACCAAAACATCTCACATCCACCACCATCTCACATCCACCACATCATCTCACATCACAACATCTCACATCCACCACCATCTCACATCCACCACCATCTCTCACCATCATCTTTACATCCATCACCATCTCACATCCACCATCCATCCACCAACTCTGACATCCACCAACAACATCTCACATCCACCAACATCTTACATCCACCACCATTCACATCCACCGACCATCCTCACATCCACCACCATCTCACATCCACCACCATCTCACACATCCACCTACATCTTACATCCACCAACAACATCTCACATCCACCAACATCTTACAGCCACCACATCTCACATCGCACCACCATCTCACATCCACCATCATCAGATCACCTTACATCCAGCCACCATCTCACATCCACCAACAACAGCTCACATCCTCATCATCCACCAACAACATCTCACATCCACCAACATCTTTACATCCACCAACAACATCTCACATCCACCAACATCTTACATCCACCAACAACATCTCACATCACCAACATCTTACATCCACCACCATCTCACATCCACCACCATCTCACATCCACCAACATCTCACATCCACCACCATCTCACATCCACCAACATCTCACATCCACTACCACCTCACATCCACCATCACCTCACATCCACTAACATCTCACATCCACCAACAACATCTCACATCCACCAACATCTCACATACACCACCATCTCACATCCATCACCATCTCACATCACCAACATCTACATCCACCACCATCTCACATCCACCAACATCTCACATCCACCACCATCTCACATCCACCACCATCTCACATCCACCAACATCTCACATCCACCACCATGCG